GTCTTTTGATATCTTTCCAGCAATTGGTATAATTATCTTCATATAAGTTAATATTCTTTGGTTTTATCCATAATCCTAAATACTTGATTTTGGGGTAGATTTTAATTTGTATTATTTTTTCTAATAGTTTTTAACTAATTTTTAACTAATAGTTTTGTCTTGTTTAAATTCAGTTTGAACCCCGCAACTTTACCGTAGCCATATATTATTTCCAACGTCTTTGTTAAACTCTGTTTTGGTTGCTCCGTAGTTATAATTAAATCATCAGCAAATGCCCTCATTTTGTAACTTTTATTTCCCAGCATAATCCCTTTTATTTCTTTCTCCTCCCTAATTCGTTTACATAAAACTTCCAATGTTAATATGAAAATTAAGGGGGATAGTGGACAACCTTGTCTGACCCCTTTACTGATTTCACATTCCTGTGATAAATTTCCATTTATTATGATTTTAGCTTTTTGTTTTGAATATATTGCTTCAATCCCTTTTATATACTGTACAGTGGTACCTCAGGTTACATACACTTCAGGTTACATACGCTTCAGGTTACAGACTCCGCTAACCCAGAAATAATACCTAGGGTTAAGAACTTTGCTTCAGGATGAGAACAGAAATTGTGCTCCGGCGGCGCGGCAGCAGCAGGAGGCCCCATTAGCTAAAGTGGTGCTTCAGGTTAAGAACAGTTTCAGGTTAAGAATGGACCTCCAGAACGAATTAAGTACTTAACCCGAGGTACCACTGTATACCAAATTCCATATGGTGTAATAGACCTTTCATAAATTTCCAGGAGACCCTGTTGAAAGCTTTTTCAGCATCTATAGCCATTAAGACTGCCTTCTTTTCTATTCTTAAGTCTAAATACTCTAATAAGTTTATAATATTTCTAGTGTTGCTATAAATATGCCTCCCAGGCAAAAAGCCAGCTTGGTCATTGTGTATAATCATCTGGAAGACTTTTTTTGATCTTTCGGCTAAAATATTTGCATATATTTTATAATCGTTATTTAGAAGTGTGATAGGCCTATAGTTGTTAATAAGTGGATTGTCCATACCCTGTTTTGGAATTAATGCAATAAGGCTGTCTTTCCAAGAGTCCAGTATGGTTCCGTCTTTTAAGATGTTGTTCATGATACTTCTTAAAGGGTCAGACAGTATGTCCTCAAATTTTTTATAATATATTGCCGGTAGGCCGTTTGGCCCTGGTGACTTTCCTTTCTTTGCTTCCTTAATTGCTCTTTGAATTTTGTACGATGTAATAGGGGCATTCAACAGTTCTTTTTCTTCTTTAGTAAGTTTCGAAAGACAGTTCTGTTCTAAATATTCTTTAACTTCTTCTGTTGCTTCATTTCCTTCCTTATAGAGTTCTCTAAAGAATTCGACAAATCGAGCTCTGAGTCTGGCGATCATGACCGGCCAATTCCTCCAAGGAAAAAAAATAAGAAATGTGGTCTTAATTCTTCTGAAAACCGTGAGTAAAGTGATCTAATTTGGAACTACAAATTGGGAAGGAAAGGGACTTAAAAACGGAGGTCGGTCCCTTCCACTGAAGCAAAAGTGAAAAGCAGCTAACGTTACCAAAAGCCGCAACTTTAACTTTTCATTCTTTTAGAAACTTTCAAGTGTTTCCTGCACCCCCTTTCTAGCAGGAGAAGGGGGGAAAGACAAAAAGTAAACTTCCCTGCAGAAGAACTGGGGATTTTTTTGAACTGTTATATCTTCTTTGTGGAAGCAGACCTCCCGGGGTGAGGGAAGGCAAACTCCATTGTGATGTAACAAAGGGATTGGATACTTTCAACTTTCGTTTACCGCTTTGGAAAAATACAAAGTAACTACAGCTGCCAGAGCTCAAAAATATTTGGAATTGTATCTCCACCTTCTGCTAATAAGCCAAAGGATTGAAACAAACTTTTGGGGATTTGATTAAAGGAGTAAATATAAAGATTTTTAAAGACTTGTATTTGTCAGATTGAAAGGCTGTGGCGAGGAAAGACTTTTACTTTGGAGTGGGGATTACTGCAGCTGGGAAACAGTCTGTTTATCCTATTATCTCCCCCTTGTGACTGTAGCTGACTGTAGCTGACCTTGGGGGGGGGGAAACTATGGATGGGGGAGACAAAGGAGACAAACAGAAAAGTCAGAGAGATTAGAGAGGGCAAAAATTAAACCAAGAAGAGACTCTAGAACACCAACATTTGAAGAATCAGTAATGCAACTTCTTCAGGAAATTAAAACAGAAGTAAGAGGGAATTAAAAAACTATTGAAGAATTGAGGAATGATTTTTCTGAATTGAAACAGGACCTGAAGACACTGAAGTCTGATATTACTTCACATGAGGAAAGAATTTCACAACTGGAAACGGTAAAGGTCCGTGACTTAGAAACTGTCCAGCAGCAAGCGTTAAATTTGATTTCGTTTCTGGAATTAAAGCAGAAGGAGGCCCATTTGAGATTGAGAGGTGTAGTCCAGAAGGAACAGGACAATTTGAAGGGGTGGCTTATTGAAGAATTTTCAACTTATTGGGCGATCTCAAAAGAAGAACTAAATTTGTGGATTGACAAAGCATACAGATTCGGTCCTAAAAAGGATTCTAAAATCACACATGATTGCATGGTGATTTTTAAAACAAAGGAACAAAGAGACATGATATTGGGACATCATTATAAAAAAAGTTTAAAGATAGATGGGAGAGCATTTTTTATCTTTGAGAAATATTTATACAGATCTGGCAACTGCCCTAAGGAAGAAAAATATTTTCTTTAGCTGGGAATTCCCAGAGGGCCTCTCCTTCAAATTCCAAGGGAGGAAACAAAAAATCAGAACGGTTGGAGAGAAGGAGAGATTTCTGGAGAAAAACGCAAAAGAACTTGGTTTGGAAAGTTTCCTCCCTTTGGGTGCGGGGGCCGAAGGGCCCTAAAAAATTAAGATGTCTTTAAGAATTTACTCCTGGAATGTTAATGTCTTAAATTCTCCCAAAAAAGGGGCCAAGTCTTTCATATCTTGGCAAGACATAATTTGGATATAATTTGCTTGCAAGAAACACATGTTACAAGATTGCATAGAAAAATTTTACAGAATAAAAAACTTGGTCAGGACTTTATCTCATCAGACAAAGTTTTAAAAAGGGGAGTGGTTTTTTATGTTAAAGAAAAATGGAACCCCAAGTTGTTTAAGGATGAGGAAGGAAGATACATTGCCGTGGAAATTACAGCACAAGGTGATAAATATCTTTTATTGGGAATTTATGCACCAAATGATGGAAAAGTAGAATTTTTCAGAAATTTGGATTTTAAACTTAATGACTACCTGGAATATAAAATAATACTAATGGGAGATTTGAATGGGGTAGTCTCCACATTTATGGATAAATCACAAGAGCAGAAAGTGCAAAATGCAGGCAGACTTCCAAAATTGTTCTTTGATATGGTAGACAAATATGACCTATCAGACATATGGAGACTATGGAATCCTATAGAGACAGACTATACTTTTTTTTCAAATTCGTCCCAGACATTTTCACGAATCAATTGCCAATGGATTACCAGGGATTTAGCTCCAAGGGTAACAAAAATCCAAATATGTCCTAGAACTTGCTCTGATCATAATGCAGTGTTATTGGAAATGAAATTGTATCTGCAGGATTCCTCCAGATGGAGGATGAACGATGGGTTGCTGAGGAATGATCAGGTGGTGGGTAAGGCCCAAAAGACTCTGAAAGATTATTTTGAGCGAAATATAAATACAGAGGTAGAAAAAAGAGTCATTTGGGACGCTAGTAAAGCAGTGATGAGAGGATTCCTCATACAACAGAATGCTATAAAGAAAAAGATACAAAATCAAAAAAAGGAAACAATTCTATCTCAAATTAAAGAGAAATAAAAGAGTTTAAGATCAAAGCCGAAAAGCCAACAGATACAAAAAGAAATTAAAGTGTTGCAGACTCAATTTTCTCAAATTATAAACCAAGAAATAGAATGGAAAATAAAACTAATGAAACAGAGGAATTTTGAATCTGCAAACAAATGTGGAAAACTGTTGGCTTGGCAATTAAAAAAGAGACAGAAACTAAACACAATTACAAATATTGTGTCGGAGGGAAAATCTGTAGAAAACCCTGGGGATATTAGAAAATGCTTTCAGAAATATTTTAAACAGCTGTATAAAAAAGGTAAAGAGGATACAGATAAAATTGAGCAATTTCTTAGGACAAATGAATTGCAGAAAATTCCCGCAGATAAAAAACCACTACTCAATGACAAGATTACTAGACAGGAGGTTGAGATGGCAATAAACCAGATGCAACTGGGCAAGACCCCAGGACCGGATGGATTATCTGCCAAATACTATAAAACTTTTAAGGACTGGTTAACTCAACCTTTGGCAAAGGTTTGTAATGAGATATTGAAAGGAGGGAGGGCTCCTGCAACCTGGAAAGAGGCATTTATAACTTTGATACCGAAATCTGAACAAGATAGGACAGATGTAAAGAATTATAGACCAATCTCACTACTGAACGTAGACTATAAAATATTTTCAAATATCCTGGCTAATAGATTGAAAAAAGTTTTATCAGAATATATAAATAAAGACCAGGCAGGTTTTCTGCCTGGAAGACATATGAAAGAGCAAGATGGTGATGGCTTAGCAAGCAGGCTTCGGAGCTCCGCAGATAACAGGACTGTAATTATCATTGACTGCCACCCAGGGAAGTAATTTTTCCTTTTTTACTTCTCTACTTTTTAACTTACCAACCTACTGAGATTCTAACAGCACCTTCTTGTCTATGCTATGAGAAACATCTTGGGCAAGTTCTGTGAAGCATCCTGGGCAGGCCGCCAGCTGCTAGCTATTAACCGCCAACTCCCTTCTATACTTTGTTCCTGAAACTCCTGGCAGTCTCCACACAGAGAAGCTCTTAAATTGAACAAACTGAGCACTTTCTATTTTTTCTCTCTTTTTTGGTTGGTGAAACCTCTCCTTGTTTACTCCCCACGGTGACGCTATGCCTGCTAGTAAACGCCACAGGGACCCAGAGGATGTAGCTCTCTCACTGGTTCCCAAACAATCTAAAATAGAGGACTTTTTTAACAAATCTGCTTTTATAGTTCCAACAAAAAAACGGTTTTCTCCTCTTGAAGATGATTGTGAGTGTGGGGAGAGTATTCAAGGTGAGAGCGTGGAACTGGATCCAGCAATGGGGCAAGCTGATCCTGTGCTCCTCAGAGAGGAAGGAATAACAAGTAGGGAGAGCACCCAATTAACTCTAATTGCAAGAACGGTTGAGCATATCTTCCAGCAAATTAGAGGTAATGCCTCTCAAATAACCCAATTATCCAGAGAGGTCCACAGTTTATCAGTTAATAACAAGCAGGCATCAACAGAACACCATAGTACCAAAGGAAATTGGCGACAACAAGAGCAGACCCCTAAGCTCAACATAGAACGTGCAGAGGCTCTCAAAACAAACTCTTCTTATTTAATCTTCCAACCAAAAAAGATCTGCATGACAATTTGTGGAAGGCCAGATCAAACTCCTAGCTGGAAAGGTGCCCAGCATTCCAAACAACATTTATCAGACTTACTTGGCATTGGACTTACAGAGATCGACCTCGTTAGGACTGAACTATTGAATACCACAAATCAAAGCCAAAAAATTATGTTAACTTTTTCCTCTACTAGACTGCCCTCACTGATTCACAAGCTGAAATTCAGATTGTCAAGCAGAGGAGTTTTTCCAACCTGGGTATTTCACAATTCTATTGTTGCACCCTTATGTAAGATGAGGACTGGTGCTTCAGAGGGGCTCACAAAACCAAAGCCTGGATCCCCAATGGAAGTAATGACATCACAAAAAAACTTGACAGGTGGGGAGGAAACAGACATGCCTGAGTTGAATTCGCAGGATCATGCCCAACATCAAAATAACCAGGTGAGCCAAAAGGAACAGCCGATTCCTCTAGACAATTATCTTCAGGAATCTGAGCACTCTGTAAATCCTTTGGAAGAGGATTTTCTCCGCTCCTTTAGGAATCTCCCTCAGGAAGAGCAACAAACAGTTATCAAGAGGCTTGATCTTATGAGCCAGACATTGAAAGAGATTAAAGAACCGGAGGCAGAGATTGATAATAGACCCAATGGCCACAACAGAATGATAACTATAGAACCACCGGAGTATTGGACAAAGATGAGATATTTAGAAGAGGAGGAGTCAGGAAATACACCCAAGGAATCCCCACTGGCAAGCAATTTGCAAAGAAAAGGCCCAGTGATTACAAATGTGAGTACTTTATGTACGATGACTGAAATAATTGAACATCTTGATTATTCCACTAGCATTAGCAATACTCTGTTGCCTCAAAAACTGGTAAACTCCGAGAGTACATTGGCCAACAATTGACTAAGAGTAAATCACTGTAAAACAATTAAACTTCTCTCATGGAATGTAACAGGGTGGATGAACAAGATCCAAGACAGTGATTTCTGTTCTTATCTACAAACACATGATATCATCTTTCTTCAAGAAACCTGGGCAAAAGAGGGCACTATGGTTGAATTACAGGGTTTTACAAGTTACACTCAACCAGCTCTTAGAACTGTAAAGTATGAAAGGCCTAGTGGGGGGCTGGCGGTGCTGGTGTCAACCTCTCTTAATGTATCAATTCAACAGTGTCCCTCGTTGACCACCCCTAATTTTTTAGTGTTGTCCCTTTCTGATAGTCTCCTGAGAAATACTTATTGCATCTGTGTGTACATACCTCCAGTAAAGTCTTGTGGGGAACTGAGATCATATTGGGATAAACTTGACCAACTACTCGAAAGTATAGACTCTCTGTCACCTAACCCTCGGCTTGTCTTGGGAGGTGACTTCAATGCCCGGATCGGCCTTGTTTCCCCACAAAATACAATATTATCTGGACTAAACTTGGAGGACGAACCTGAAATCTGTCAGAGGGCAGCAATGGACACCACCTCTAATCGCGCTGGGAAATATATTTGTGAACTTATAATAAAGCATAACCTTTTGTTATGCAATGGGCACGGTCAAGGGGATCAAGAGGGTTATTTTACTTTTATCTCCCCCAGAGGATTTACTAGCACCATAGATTATATCCTAACATCTAATAATGTGCCAGTTAACCGAGTTACCTTCAGGATAATTCCCAGAGCTGAAAGTGACCACTTTCCACTTGAGTTATCTCTGACATCATTCTTTTCTCCTGCCTTTCCTAAATTACTGGATGAAACAGAATATCTGATACTTGGAAATAGAAGGTTAAAATGGAATGCACAGGTCCAAGAAAAAATGATTCAGATCCTGGATTCCCATGAATTTGCTTTATTAAAGGGGGAAATGTTGTTAGACACAGGAAACATAATTGGACTTTATGAGAACACAACCAACCAATCAACCGAATGCGCCCACTGATGACCACAGCTAGTGTGATAAAAAACAAAAAGTTTAAGAGACAGACTTGGTTTGATAAGGAATGTCAGAATAGCAAAAAATGCCTAGCTAGGGTACTTAGAAAATTGAAGTTAAAACAGGATAAGCACAATCTTGCTCTACAAGCTGAGGTAGCCCAGTTACGAAACAATTACAAATTATTACTTAAAAGCAAGAAACAAATATATTATGAACAACAGTGAAAAGAATTGGGAGATGCAGCACTTCAAAAGGACTCACGGAAATTTTGGCATCTGGTTGCCCAAGGCACAAATGGGCTGGGCTACTCATTAGAAGCATCTGTCCAAGGAAAGGATTGGGTGACATATTTTACAGAAATATATGGCCCCTGTCCTGACCCACCCCCACAAGTTTACTATACTCAGTTATCTTAACTGCCAGAATGGCTCAATCAGATTAAGAGGCTAATCGCAAGCCAACTAGCTAATAAAGCTCCAGGAGAAGACATGATCCCAATGGAGATCTATAAGATAAGACCTGATTTCTGGTCACCCATTTTTGCAAAATTGTTTTCATACATTAACAGCTCAGGTCGCATACCTGAAGGGTGGAAGTTGAGTATAATTGCCCCAATATATAAAAAGGGTGATAAGAAAAACCCTGCCAATTATAGACCCATTAGTTTGTTAGATGTAGCCTCCAAACTATATGCCAGGCTCCTTCTTGGGAGGCTAGAAGAATGGGCAGATACAAATAAGGTGATATCTGAAGTCCAGGCAGGTTTCCAAAGAGGGAATCCACATTGGACCAGTGCTTTGTGCTGAACTTTCTGCTATATAAATACATCCACAATTTGAAGCAAAAATTATATGTTGCTTTTATCGATCTAAAGTCAGCTTTTGATACGGTCCCAAGACACGCATTGTGGCAAAAATTGGAAAAGACAAATATAGACCTCCGTCTATTATTTCTCATCAAAACATTATATACTGACACATCAATACAAGTAAAGGTGGATCTGGCTGGCCATCTCACCACTAGAATTAAGACCATTACTGGAGTCAAACAGGGATGCATTTTGGCACCTTTCCTGTTCAATTTTTATATTAATGACATGGTTAAAGAACTGGAGGGCCTACAGTTTGCCCCTGTCACAATTCTCGAACAAAAACTCCCAGTTTTAATGTATGCTGATGACCTAGTACTTGTATCTAGAACCCAGGTGGGCCTGAGATGGCTGCTTGCAAAATTAAGTTCATATTGCACGAGGAATGCTTTATCTATAAACTATGATAAGACGCAGGTCATTGTATTTGGGAAGCGTTCTAAAAAGCATGTTTGGCACCTGGATGAGCACATCATAAAGCAAGTAAATATGTTTAAATACCTGGGATTGATTTATTCAGAAACGGCATCTTGGAATACACAGCTATCCAATATTAAATTGCAAGCCTTTAAATCAGCAAAAGCCATTCTGAAATTCGCTGCCTGTAAAGGTGGAAATCTGGTCAACCCAGCTCTATCTGTGTATAAAGCAAAAACAATGGCCCAGATTTTATATGGTGCAGAGGTTTGGGGTACCGCAAAGGTCTCCGGTCTGGAACCCCCACAGAATTATTTTATAAGAGTTCTTTTAGGTTTACCCAAAGACGTGCAATCTGCCATGGTCAGGTTGGAAACTCGCATGTTGAGCATAGAGAGCCAAATAGATAAAAGAATTCTCTGTTACTGGTTTAGAGTTCAACAGATGGACAACACTAGGCTACCAAAAAAATGCCTGATTGAGCTCTCAAATGGATTACCCCTTAAAAACTGGGTACATCATGCTGCCCAACTGATGGGCAAATATGACCTCTCAGTGACTGAGATTAAAGAACTCCCCTTATATTCACAGAAAAATATTTTTAAACGAACCATAAGGGCAGTGGCAACTAAAAATGATCTAAACTCTATGTGCACATCTACATGCGCCCCATTGTATTTTAAACTTAGAGAGGTCAATGAACACACATCTTATTTTAATGAATTGACTTTTGCACAGCTTCGAAAAGCTTTTACAGAGCTACGACTAAATACAATAAGCTCTGCTTATAGAGATGGGAGACACAGAGGCATACCAAAAAATGAACGTGTTTGCATTAGGGGATGTTCTGAAGTAGAGGACCTTATGCATTATATCTTGCACTGTCCGTTATATAATGATGCAAGAAAAAGATTTTTGGTACCTATAATGACAGGGTCCCCTGGCCAGAACCCCTTTGACATGATGTTATATCTCCTTGCAGACACAGATAAGTATGTGACCTGGCGGGTAGCACTTTTTGCAACTGCTGCTAGGAAAATTAGAGCAAATTATATAGCCAAGGTAGCCATTAACTGTAAAGGAGATGAATTTATTTGATCCTATCTATCTACCTCAGGCTATGCTCTTTGTCACCAAACTCTGAGTATAAATTGCACACTGTATTAATTGATATTGTTTTTAACATTAGTGACCATGTGATGATTTTAGCTCATGAATTTTATTGTTTAATGTTTTTATTTGCACATTGGGGTACTTTTATAGCTTTGTTTAGAGTACGTAATGTTTTAATAATATAAATGTTTTAAGTCTTTTTTTATCAATTCAGTATATTTTCTTTTAATTGTCAAATAATTCTGTGTACATTGCGGCAGCCTTTGGCTATGTGCAATAAAACTGACTGAGACTGAGACATATGAAAGATAATATTAGAAATATAGTGGATATTCTGGAAAGATTAGAGACTAAGAGAAACACCAAAGCATTATTAATGTTTATTGATGCGGAGAAAGCCTTTGATAATATCTCTTGGCTTTTTATGGGAAAAAATTTGGAAAGTATTGAGGTTGGTCAACAATTTTTAAATAGTATCAAAGCGATCTATTCTGAACAAAAAGCTAAAATTATTATTAATAATGTGGTATCGGAAGAAATTAAGATTGAGAAAGGAACCAGGCAAGGGTGCCCACTTTCCCCTCTATTATTTATTGTGGTCCTGGAGGTCTTGCTGAACAGTTTGAGAAAAGAAGAGAAAGTCAAGGGCATTGTAGTGGGTACTAAGCAATATAAATTAAAAGCCTTTGCTGATGATTTGGTTTTAACCTTACAGGATCCAGAGACCAGTGCAGTAAAAGCACTGGAGATGATACAGGAGTATGGGCAGCTGGCTGGTTTTAAATTAAACAAGAGCAAAACCAAAGTAATCGATAAAAACTTAGATAAAGTTGAAAGAAAAACCCTAATAGAAAAAACAGGCCTAGCATTTATGAAGAAGGTTAAATACTTGGGTGTGAATTTAACAGTTAAGAATTTGAATTTGTATAAAGATAATTATGAGAAAATATGGAATGAAATAAAAAGAGATTTAGAGATTTGGTCAAACTTAAAATTTTCACTTATGGGACGAATATGGTTAAGATGAATGTATTGCCAAAAATGCTGTTTTTATTTCAAACTTTACCTATCATTGATAATGTCAAATTTTTAAAGAATGTTTTAAAGAATGGCAGAAGGCCCTGTCCAAATTTATCTGGCAAGGGAAAAAACCGAGAATTAAGTATAAATTACTTACAGATTCAAAAGAAAGAGGAGGCTTTTCCCTACCTGATTTAAAGATATATTTTGAGGCTGCGGCCTTCTGCTGGATTAAAGATTGGATCAATTTAGAAAATGAGGACATTTTGGACCTAGAAGTATTGGACAATAGGTTTGGCTGGCATGCATATCTTTGGTATGACAAAATAAAGGCCCACAGTGGCTTTAAGAATCATATAATTAGGAAGGCACTTTTTAATGTTTGGTCTAGATATCAGGATCTTTTGGTAAGAAAAACACCCAAATGGATTTCACCAATGGAAGCGCAGGCACACAAAAAAAAGCTTAATATGGAAAATAAGTGGTTGAGATACTCAGATTTATTGGTTGAAGATGGGGAGGGATTTAAGTTAAAATCATTTGAACAAATCAAAGATAAAGTAAATTGGCTTCAATATTACCAAATGAATGAATTATTTAAGATTGATAAGAAAAAAGGTTTTGCAATTGAGAAAACCAAACTGGAAACGGAGTTGTTAGATACTAATGTTAAAAATTTGTCTAAAATGTTTGTTATTGGAGTGGCATACAAAAGATGAGCAAGCAAAATCGGTTATGATTGATTGGGCACAAGATGTGGGACATAATATAATGATGGAGGATTGCGAGAGACTTTGGAAGAAAGGGGTTAAGTTTACTGCATGTACAATGCTAAAGGAAAATATTATGAAAATGATGTATAGATGGTACTTAACCCCTGTTAAACTGGCGAAGATCTACCACAATTGTGATAATTTATGCTGGAAATGTAAAGAAAAGGAAGGTACTTTCTATCATATATGGTGGACTTGCTCCAAGGTAAAAGACTTCTGGGGAAAAAATTATAATGAATTAAAAAATGATGAAATATACATTTATGAAGAAACCAGAAGCCTTTCTCCTTGGAATAACAGGTTCTGAACTGCCCCAAAAAGATGTAAAAGTATTTTTGTATGCCACAACTGCTGCACAGATTTTATTAGCCAAGAAATGGAAAACACAAGAATTACCAACGGTAGAAGAATGGCAGATGAAGATGATGGATTTTATGGAGCTGGCTGACCTCACCGGGAGAATCCGCGACCAGAAAGAAGAGGAACACCAAGAAGATTGGGAGAAATTTAAAGACTATTTGAATAAATATTGTAATATTAAAGATATGTAATCACTTGAAAGAAACAATTAGGCCTAGGATTAAAATGGAATTCAATTTACAAATAAGAAAATCTACGATAAGGAAAGTTATGTAACATGATTAGGACTGTGATATGGTTTTCTGAAACACTGATATTGGAAACTGCTACATATAATTACTAAGAAATTCGGATGGAAGAGATTCGAGGAAGTCAAATACTATGTTTATGAAGATGGATGGTACTTAATTTTAATTAATTAAGTGGCAATATGTTGTATGTATCTTTTTTCTTTTCTCTCTTTTTCGCCTATTTTTTGTTTGTCTTTATTATTGTTAATCTCTTCTTTTTTATTATGTTTACCTACTGAAAATAATAAATATTATTTTGGGGGGGGAAAGAATTTGACAAATCGTTTCTCTATTTCTTTAGGGTTGTTTATTATGTTGCCTTCGTACTTAACTCTATTTATAAGCCTTTCTGCCTCTCTCTCTTTTAATTGCCATGCTAATAACCTTCCTGGTTTATTAGCGTGTTCAAAGGTTTTTGTTTCAATAATCTTAATTTCCATTCCATTTCTGTGTTTATTAGCATTAAATATTGAGATTGTAGTATCTTAATATTTCTTTTTAATTCTACACTATTTGGTTTTGTCAGATGCTGTTGTAGTTGCTCGAGAGTAACCAGGCAGGACTCCAACCTGTCTTTTACAGGCTTTATTTTGGTGCAAACTATTTACAGTGAAGAGCGTCATAAGTTCATGTCTGGCTCAATCGCTAGCAGAACCCGGGAGTGGTCTGTTTTTGTACCTCCCCCAACATAAAAGTCTCGTCACCCCCAGCCGTTTCCGCCCCTCCCTGAGCTTCAGACTACTGCGCAGGATGGGCGATGGCAAGGGCGTGCTTCCCGCCTCTCCGGCTTGCTCAGGCGCGGTGTTAAGGCTCTTCCTAGCATCCTCTCGTCCTTGCACCTCTTCTCCACTCAGAGGTGGGGCTTTCCTCCTCACTGGAAGAAGAACGGCTTCGCAAGATTTTCGGAGGCTCCCTGTAACACAACTGCCCTTCTATCTCTCGCCCTGAGCCGATGGCAGTTCCCTGACAGGTTTTTTGTATAATTCCAACTCGCTTTTTCTAATCTCCTCTAAGATTTCTTGTTTGTTTTTTTCCTTTTGTTTTCTTTGAATTACGTTTTGTTGAATAAAGAAACCTCTTAAGACAGCTTTACTAGCATCCCAGACTATTTTTAAATCAGTGTCCTTATTTAAATTCAATTCAAAAAATTCCTTTAAGGTCTTTTTTGCTTTTTCTATTATTGTTTCATCTCTCAATAAAGTTTCATTTAATTTCCATCTTATAGATTTCCTCTTTCCCCAAGTCAGCGTTACTTGTACTGCATTATGGTCAGCTATTGTCTTTGGTTGAATTTCAGATTTACATATTTTGACTGTCAAATCTTTTGTTAGCCAGATGGCATCAATTCTTCCTGCCGAGTTATTAGGGTAGGGGAAAAAAGTGTATTCTTTCACTGTCGGATTTTGTATTCTTCATGCGTCCTCTAAACTTAACAAATCTACTAACTGAAAAAAGGTTTTTGGGAGTTTTATTTGCTGTTTTTAGTAGTCTTTTTTGGATCTGTCTAGATCAGGATTTACCACGCCATTTTGGTCTCCTAAAAATATAATTTTCTCTCCAATAAACTCCCCCAACTCTTGTTCCAGCTTTTGATAAAATTAACTTTTTTTTTCATTCGGTGCGTAGAAGCCGATAACTTTAATTTTCTCCCCCTGGACTGTTATTTCTATCGCAACGACCCTTCCTTGTGAATCTTTATAGATCAATTTTGGCTCAAAATGCTTTTTTGCGTATATTACAACTCAGTTCTTCTTGGATTTATCTGAAGAAACAAAATCAAGTCTTATTGGATAAAATTATTGTGTGTTGTTTTGTGATATGAGTTTCTTGCAAACATCAAAACCAATTTCTGTTTGCTGAGTATGTATTCCACCTTGTTTCTTTTCTTTTTATCATTTAAACCATTTACCTTCCAAGTAACAATCCTTAATTCCATTATTTACTACACAGTGATTCAACTTCTTAAAAATAATAATAATAAAAAAAAAATTCAGAGAAGTCACTTGTCCTTAATGCTTAAGATTTGTCCTCCTCTGGTTGTTTTTTAAGATCATCCGCCCCTCCTCCCAGCTGTCTTTTGCCTTCTAATTCTTCTCTATATGTTCTCCAAAATTTGTCAGTGTCCTCCCATGTAAAAAATCTTCTCCTTTTCTCTTTATAAAGAAAGGAAATTCCCTCAGGGAATTCCCATCTGTGCACAATTGATTTTTTATTTATGGTTTCCACCAACGGTTTATATTTTTCCCTTTTTCTTAAAAGCCTTGATGGAACAATTTTATGAATGATTATGTCTGTTTCCTGAATTTTAAGTTTTGTCTTACTGCTAATTTGTAGTATTTTATCTCTAATATTCATATTCACAAAAGTTACCAGACAGTCCCCAGGCCAATTATTTGCTCTTGCAATTCTTGATCTGATTCTAAAGGCTCTCTCAATTTTGTTTCTCATTTCCTGCTCTTCTATTCCAATCCATTTGGCTAATTCTGATGATATTTTTTTGCTCTATCACTTCATCTGGTTCTTCTGGAATAGATCTAAATCTCAATGTTCAGTCATAGAGATGGCATCTAGGACTGTCTCATGGGTTTCTTTCATATCTGCCAGCTCTTTCTTAATTTTTTCTGTTTCCCCTTTTTTCTCCTCTGTTCTCCTTCTGTACTTTTCTTACCCCTTCCTCTAAACTTATCGTTTTCCCTTTTAATTCTTGTACAGTCTTTGTTATTTCCAAATTTTTAACCACCAGATCATTGATTTTAACCATCATTTCTAACACCATTTTTGCATTTTCCTCTATTTTTTGCCCCATCTTATCCAACTTTTGATCTGTTGATCCTGTATTGTTGTTCATCTCTTTCAGTTCTAGATATTCCTTTTATTTTGGGCACTCAGTATTATATTTTGTTATTTTTAATTAATATATATGTATGTGTATAAACATATAGAATGTGACACTCTCCCTTTCTTCTCCACAAAAATAAAGGCAAGTTCTGGACAATCGGTACGGATTAATGCACTGGCAAATTGGCAAAATGTTAAAGTTTGTGGGTCGTAAAGTCTGCTGCAATGGCACTGCAATAAATTTGATTTATTGCCACTCCGGCTGAAGGGAAGTTCTCATTCTGCACATAACTGTGGCATTATGGGAAGTCCTGCTTCTTTTCTCTGGCATTATGGGAAGTCTCACTTCTAAGCTTTTCTCTGCTTCTGTACATACTGTACAACCCGTTCTAAATACCAAGACATTCCCTCATTTCTCTAGGATGCTCAGTTCATCTTAAGTTCATGAAAACACTCTGACCTGTTCTTAATGCATAGCTGACCACATCTACGGAACTCGATTATTATATTCTTTCATGTTATGATCAAGCATTAGTAATTGTTTTAGTCATGCTATATCAATCATTAGTTATAATTTAATTAGGAGGTTTCATGCCTGTCTAGTTCTGTGCTCCCTTTCCCAGCCTTTAATCTATTGGCATCAGCCCTGTCTGATCCGCAGCATACAGCCAATCAACTTTATGGCGCGGGTCAGTATGATAATATACCAGCCCAGGCGACGCTGACACCTTTACATTTTAGTCGCACCGCGACCTGTGTACAACGCGCCTTCCGGAAAGTCCCTGTCTCAGGGCAACCGCTGAGCTCCTTTGTCAATATTAAGCAACAGCATTCGGAGCCCTACCATCAGTTTATAGATAGATTGAAAGAATCAGTCACTAGGCAGATTGATAACACTACAGCTCAAAATGAATTGATGAAAAAATTGGCCTTTGAAAATGCAAACATTGATTGCAAGAAAGCATTGCAGTCAATCATACATCGCCCTAAATATGACCTGGCCGATATGATTCAAGCTTGTGCGGATGTCGGTAGCCAGAGCCATGCGATGTCTTTGCTTGCCGGCGCGATCCAAGCTAATAATAAACCTACAGGCAATTGCTTTAATTGCAAGCGCCCAGGCCATTTTGCCAAGCAATGCAGAGCCCCTGGCGGGGGGGCAAACAGAGATGGTGCTGCCAACAAGACTAGACCTTCCAAAAAATGCCCGAAATGTGGAAAAGGCTATCATTGGGCAAATCAGTGCAGGAGTCCGGGAAACCCCATAGCGGCCCCACTCTTGGGCCAGGACAAATAGAGAGCCCTCCGCCTTTAGTCTCCGCTGCTGAAAAATTTTCTAAATATACACCCTCTGATTTTGCCATTGAATTGATCAACCAAGAGACCAAAGACACTGTTTTACCTGGTGAAATTGTGCTTATGCCCACCCAATTGGCAGGCCCACTGCCTCCTAAAGTCGCAGGTTTAATTTTACCCAAATTTTCTGCGGCAAAAGAAGGAATCCAGGTTATTCCAGGAGTTCTGGATCCTGACTATGTGGGCACAATAATGGTTCAACTTTGGAGCCATATGCCCATGCAGTTAAATAAGGGTGAGTCCTGGGCGCATTTGGTGGTGCTCCCTTCTCATCCTACTGCTTCTATTATGGATAGTATTATGGATAGTAATTTGCACGAGCTCTCTTCTTTCCCTCCGCAGCTGTTAGCTGTAGTCCAGAGGATTGGTGAAAAGAAACTTCTTTTACTCATCGGCACAATCAAAAGTAAAAGGTATGACAAGTGATGACGCCTTTGCTCAAGTTTTGGCTAAGGTTAATGAATCGTTAAATAGAATAAGTCAACAAGTAGCAGAGGCATGTGACAAGATTGATCAAAATACAACAAGTATTAATCAGAATACAGCAAGCTTAAACAATTTGAGCCAGAAAGTAAACACTAATACAGAGACTATTCAGAAATTATTAGAGGAATCGGCCTCAATACGCCAGATTGCCGAGGAGGCCAAAGAAATTGCTACAACTTCTGCTACAGAGGTTAAAGAGGTTCAAGAGACAATACCATCACTGCACAAACAATTGGAAGATCATAAATTGACCCTGTCTATGATAGAATTGAAGGAAAAACAAGTGAATTTATGGGTCAGATCGGTACCTGAAGTGGAAAAGGACAATCTAGCTGAATTTCTCATGCAGGAATTTTCGGACTTTTGGGATCCAGAATTGGTAAAAGACAGCTTCAAAATAGTAAATGCTTTTAGACTCGGGAAAAGAGGAGAGAAGAAGGTGAGAGACTGTTTGATCACTTTTCGAACAAAAGAAGAGAGGGATAAGATTTTGAGTTTGCATTTCAAGAAGACACTGGAAATCCAGCGGACAAGGGTTGAAATATTTAAAGACATTCCGAAATACCTTCTGGATCTCAGATCAAACTATAAAGACTTGGTCACCCTGCTGAGAAGGAACAGTATTAACTTTAGGTGGGAACTTCCTCAAGGCCTATCTTTTAGCTACAAAGGAAAGAAGAGGAAAATAAGATCGGAAGACGACAAAGACAAATTTTGGAGAGACCACGGAGAAGACCTACAAAAAGAACTATCTCCGGAACCAAAAGACCGTTCGAAAAAGTGATACCACCGACGGACGAGGAACAGGCACTAGGTGCAGTAGGAGGAGAATTAAAACAATAACATCATGGCCCTGCAACTTTTAACATGGAACTGTCGGGGTTTGAATTCCCCTCAGAAAAGGAAATCAGTATTTCATATATTAAAAAAGGAACAATTGGACCTAATTTGTTTACAAGAAACACATATAACAAGATTACACAGGAAATTGTTGATAAATAAAAGACTTGGTCAGGAGTTTATTTCATCGGACAAAGTTAAAAAAAGAGGGGTTGTGATTTATGCAAAAGACAATTTATCACCGAAATTTGTTTTTAAAGATGACCAAGGAAGATTTGTGGCAATCGAAATTCAAACACAAGGAGAAAAATTTTTGATTGTAGGAATTTATGCACCAAATGATGGAAAATCTGAATTTTTCAAGAAGTTGCACGAGACCCTGATGGACCATATGGATTATAACATGATTTTGATGGGAAATATGAATGGAGTGGTATCTACATATATGGACAAGGCACAAAGACAGGTAGTCACCAAGGATGGTAGGCTACCGAAAACTTTTTTTGACATGACAGACAACTTGGATTTAGTGGACATTTGGAGAATAAGAAATCCCATGGCTAAAGAGGGAACTTTCTTTTCTGAAGCCAAAATGACATGGACAAGAATTGACCAAATTTGGATAACTAGAGGAATGGCACCAAAGACAAGAAAGGTGGAAATCTGCCCGAAAATTTGCTCCGACCATAATGCTGTTAAGATGGAAATGAGACTGACACCAACTGGCTCCTTCAGATGGAAGATGAATGACACCTTATTTAGAGATGAGGAACTCCTTAAGAAGGCCCCAAAAACTCTGAGAGATTACTTTGAGATAAACCTCAGTACCAACGTGGAGAAAAGAGTAATCTGGGACGCTAGTAAAGCAGTTATGAGAGGGTTCTTAATACAACAGAATGCAATAAAGAAAAGAACGCAAAATGAGAAGAAGGATAAGATAATGGACAAAATAAAGGAATGTGAAAAAAGACTGAGAGTAAATCCCAAATCTCAAGAGATTCTGCGAGAGTTAAAGCTATATCAAGTACAATATATGAAAATGATGAATCAGGAAATAGAATGGAAAATTAAACAAATGAGACAAAAGACTTTTGAGTCGGCCAATAAATGTGGTAAATTGTTGGCATGGCAAATGAAAAAGAGACAAAAATTAAATACAATTACGAACTTAGAAGTGGAAGGAAGAAACATACAGAACCCTGCAGAGATCAGAAGTTGTTTCCAGAGGTACTTTAAACGATTATACACTCAAGGGCCATTGAAAGAAACAGAGTTAGACCAATTTTTGAAAACAAATGGATTACAAAAAATATCTCAAGAAAACAAATTAATTTTGAATTATAGAATAACTGAACAAGAAATAGAAGGTGCCATTCAAAATATGCAACTGGGTAAATCTCCAGGACCAGACAGCTTGACCTCTAGATACTACAGATCTTTAAAAGAATGGTTAATTCAACCTTTGAAAGAGGTCTGCAACGAAATAATGGAGGGGAAAAGAGCACCAGAGTCGTGGAAAGAAGCATATATTACACTTGTACCAAAGACAGAGACTGAAAAGACACAGCTTAAGAACTACCGCCCTATATCGTTATTGAATGTGGATTACAAAATTTTTGCAGATATTTTGGCTAAGAGATTCAAGAAAGTGCTGATGGAAGAGATCCATAAAGACCAAGCGGGCTTTCTCCCAGGAAGACATCTGTCTGACAATTTGAGGAATATAATTGATATTTTGGAAAAATTAGAAGTGAAAATAAACACCAAAGCAGTTTTGATATTTGTAGATGTGGAGAAAGCCTTTGACAATATTTCTTGGAATTTTATGAAGAAGAATCTCCAGGGTATGGGGGTAGGCCAAGGTTTTGAGAACGGTATAGGTGCAATTTATTCAGAACAAAAAGCTAAACTAATTGTAAATAATGTTGTGACGGAAGAACTAAAAATTGAAAAAGGGACATGACAAGATTGCCCTATTTCCCCACTTCTTTTTATTTCGGTCCTGGAGGTTTTGCTGAATATGATTAGAAGGGACCAGTTGGTTAAAGGTATACAGGTCGGAACTAAACAGTACAAATTGAGAGCGTTTGCAGATGACTTAGTATTGACGTTACAGGAGCCAGAATCTAGCACTAAAAGAGTTTTAGAACTGATTCAGGAATTTGGTCAAGTGGCAGGATTTAAATTGAACAAGTCAAAAACCAAGGTTTTAGAGAAAAATTTAACACCAATTGAAAGAGAGAGGTTTCAGAATGAGACAGGTTTAACAGTGGTTAAGAAAGTTAAATACCTGGGGATTAACATGACAGCAAAAAATGGGAACTTATTTAAAGATAACTATGAAAAATGTTGGTCCGAAGTGAAAAAAGATTTAGAAATTTGGTCAAATTTGAAGCTTTCACTGCTAGGCCGTATTGCTGCGATAAAAATGAATGTATTGCCTAGAATGTTGTTTTTGTTCCAAACTTTGCAGATTGTGGACAAAATGGATTGTTTCAAGAGGTGGCAGAAAGATATTTCTAAATTTGTCTGGCAGGGCAAGAAGCCCAGAATAAAATTTAAAATACTAACGGATGCAAAGGAAAGAGGTGGATTTGCCCTGCCAGACCTTAAACTTTACTATGAATCAGCAGCTTTTTGCTGGTTGAAAGAATGGCTACTTCTTGAAAACACTGACATTTTGGACTTGGAAGGTTTTAATAATGTATTTGGATGGCATGCATATTTGTGGTATGATAAGGTCAAAGCACATAAAGCATTTAGAAACCACATTGTCAGGAAAGCGCTATTTAATGTTTGGATAAGATATAAGGATTTGCTAGAAAACAAAACCCCAAGGTGGCTGTCACCAATGGAAGCGAAAGCCTTGAGAAAGGCCAATATGGAGGTCAAATGGCCGAAATATTGGGAAATTTTGGAACAAGACGGAGATAGACTGAAATTGCAGAGCTTTGAAAAATTAAAAACAAAGTGCGAGACTGGCTTCATTATTATCAGATAATGGAGGCATTTAAATTGGACAAGAAAATTGGCTTCCAGGTGGAAAGATCTAAATTAGAAACAGAACTGTTAGAACCCAAAACTAAGAATTTGTCAAGAATGTATAACTTGCTGCTGAAATGGAATACCCAGGATGAAACGGTAAAATCGGCTATGATTAAATGGGCACAGGACATTGGACATAACATTATGTTTGCTGACTGGGAACAGTTGTGGACCACAGGTATGAAATTTACGGCATGTAATGCCTTAAGAGAGAATATTATGAAAATGATATACAGGTGGTACATAACCCCAGTCAAGCTTGCAAAAATTTATCACTTGCCCGATAACAAATGTTGGAAATGTAAAGAAACTGAAGGTACATTTTTCACCTTTGGTGGACGTGCCCAAAGATTAAGGCTTTCTGGGAAATGATATATAATGAACTAAAAAAAAGGTATTTAAGTATACCTTCCCTAAGAAACCAGAGGCCTTTCTCCTAGGCATAGTCAGCCAAATGGTGTTAAAAAAGGATAGAACTTTCTTTATGTATGCAACAACAGCAGCAAGAATACTCATCGCAAAGTATTGGAAGACACAAGAACTTCCCACGCTGGAGGAATGGCAGATGAAATTTATGGACTATATGGAACTGGCGGAAATGACTGGTAGAATCCGTGACCAGGGAGAAGAGTCGGTGGAGGAAGATTGGAAGAAATTCAAAGACTATCTTCAGAAACATTGCAAAATTAAAGAATGTTAGAGTGATGTTGGACTGAAAATAACCGGTTTCCAGCTGTACAGGTTAAAGTTAATGATAGACTAAGATTAAGATTAGGATTAAAGATGTTTAAAGAAATGGAAATTTGATAATTAAGAGGGAAAATTTTAATGTTATATTATACTAAGACTAAAGATCAGGTTTAAAGAAGTTGAAGTTATATATTACAATATTATATTAAAGTTAAAGATTGGGATTAAAAAAAGTTGTAAAGAAATTGCTGGACAAACAATTTGGATTGGAATACAAAAGAGGGAGGTATGAGGAAGTCCAGAAAATAAGTAAACTAAAAAATGGAAATGGAAAAGAGATATTGTTTTTAATTGTTATGTTTTTTGTTTTTTGTTTTTTATTGTTGAATTGTGTTTTTCTTGTGTGTTTTTGTTATCTTTTTTTTTGGAGATATGTATTGTGTATGTTTTTCTTTTCTTTCTTTGTTGTTCAAAACTTAAATAAAAATTATTTATAAAAAAAAAAGAAAAAGAAAAGAAACTTCTTCGTAAGTATAAAATCAATGGTATAGTGCTGGAAGGCTTGATTGACACGGGCGCAGACGTTTCTGTAATTTCCAGTAGTTGCTGGGACCCCACGTGGCCCCTTGAGTCTGCCTCTGCAGTTTGGGGTGTGGGTGGACCCCAAACCTCTTCCAAAAGCGTACAGTGGCTGCCTGTTTCTCTGCCTGATAGCTCTGAAACCATTGCATACATCCAGCCCTGTGTGCTGAAAATCCACCTCAATCTGTGGGGCAGAGACTTACTACAACAATTACAAGCTACTATTCAATTTAATGAGTAAGCTTGCACTTCCCCTCAGCTGGAAATCTACCAGTCCTGTATGGGTGGAACAATGGCCCATAACGGGGGAAAAGCTACTTGCTTTAAAACAATTAGTGAATGAACAATTATTGGCAGACCATATAGAGCCTTCAGTTAGCCCCTATAATACCCCCATCTTCGTCATAAAAAAGAAGAGTGGCAAATGGAGATTTCTCCAGGATTTAAGGAAAATAAATCAGATCCTTGAACCCATGGGGCCCTTGCAGTGTGGTCTGCCTAATCCGAATGTGATTCCACAATCTTATCAATTGGCTATAATAGATTTGCAAGATTGTTTCTTCTCCATTCCCCTACAGCAGAAGGATCGTAAATTCTTTGCTTTTACTGTTCCTGTGTTAAATAACAGTCAGCCCACGGAAAGGTACCAATGGAAAGTCCTACCACAAGGAATGTTGAATTCCCCTACCATGTGCCAATATTATGTGAATCAAGCCCTTCAGCCTTTTCGTTTGCAGTATCCACACCTCTCAATTTATCATTATATGGATGACGTGCTTATCAGTGGGCCACGCCTTCCCCCTCAATGGAAGCATGATATGATAGCCTGTTTGTCGCTTTATGGTTTGAAAATTGCCCCAGAAAAAGTTCAGGAATCCTCTCCCTCCATTATTTGGGACACAAAATGATAGCTAGCTATTCTATTCCTATAGTCCCTGAACTTCATGTTCCAAAAACAATGAAATATGTCCAGCTGCAGCAATTGCTGGGCAATATCAACTGGATAAGACCCTATTTTAAAATCCCTCTTGAAGTTTTACGGCCGCTTTTTTCAGCCTTAAAAGGCCATCAATCTCCTGGTGAGAAAATCACCTTGAACTCCTCTCAACAGAAGACTGTTGCCCAGTTAAAGGAAATCATGCGTCTCCACTGGGTTGATCGAGCGATTCTTAATGTTTTGCCCGATGTAGTCATTATGACAGCTTCTGTCCAACCTTTTGCAGCCATTATTCAGTTAGGACCATTGAAAGTTCATATAATTGAATGGCTGTATTTACATCATACGCCAAAGAACACGGTGACTCCTTTAGTGGATCTCCTTGCTCAGCTCATCAGCAAGGGAGGCCGTCGCTGCAAAAGCCTCTTTGGCATTGATTGCCGCCAAATTATTGTGCCCATGCCCTTAGAACAATGGGAAACTGCTCTCTCCACTAGCATGGATTTGCAGTGCGCTTTAGCCGATTTTGTTGGCCAAGTGGGTTGCCATATCCCAGCCGACCCTCGCCTGCAAATGAGCAAACAAATTTCCCTGTCTTTCTCTTCCATATTATCTCCTGTCCCTTTGGGTGCCCCTACTGTCTTTACTGACGGATCCCCCTCCAGGGGGGTGGTTGCCTGGCAACTAAATGAGGAATGGCACAGCCTCTACACTCTTCCACAAAAGTCTGCCCAGCGTTCTGAGTTAGCAGCTGCTGTCAAAGCTCTGCACCACTTCTCCTCACAGCCCTTTAATTTGGTAGTGGACAGTCTTTATGTTGCAAATGTCATAACTCGTCTACAAGGCAGTTATGTAAGTCCTTTATTGGATGACAACTTATTGAGCCTTTTCCTATCCTTACAATTGCTTCTTTCTAATCGCTCCCACCCTCTATTTGTGGTGCACATTCGCTCTCACCAACCCTTCCCAGGCTTTATCACTGATGGCAATGCAAAAGCAGATTCTTTGCTTAGGGCTTTGCCTGTTTCCCCTATTGAAAGTCATGCTTTCCATCATCAAAATGCAAAGCCCTTAGCCGCCAGTTCCAAATCCCGTTGGAAGCGGCACGTGCAATTATCCAACAATGCCCTCAATGCTCTAATCAGATTGGCCACCCCAGCCCTGGTGTTAATCCCCGTGGGCTGGCAGCCAACCAGTTGTGGCAAATGGATGTCACTCACTTCGCCCCTTTTTCACCTTGGAAGTTAAGCATGTTTGCAATCATCTTGTTTGTACCATGTCAGTCATGGGCAAGCCTCATTCCTTGAAAACTGACAATGCCCCAGCGCACTGTGCAAAAACCTTTGCTCAGTTCTGTGAAACTTGGAATATTCACCATTTATTTGGCATCCCCTACAATTCTCAAGGCCAAGCGATTGTTGAACGTGCCAATCGCACCTTAAAAACTGCCTTGATTCGACAGGAAAAGAAGGCCGGCGTCCCAGCCTCACTCTCTGAAAAGGAAGGCTGGTTGGCTAGTGTTCTCTTTACTCTCAATCATTTGAATGTTTCCATACAGGATCATCAATCTTATACTCGCCTCCAGAAGCATTTTCAGCAAACAGAGATACTCCCAGCCCCACTGGTCCGCTATAAGATATTACCCTCCAACGAATGGAGTGAACCTGTAAAACTGATCACCTGGGGAAAGGGTTACGCTGCAGTTTCTACTCCACAGGGTGCTCGCTGGGTTCCCGCACGCTGCATCCGCCTATACCATGGCGTGGCGACAGACCCTACCGGATCCGATACCGCAGTTCGACCGCAAACTACAGATCGCCCAGGATGCGGTGTCCAGCCCCACCAGGACTCGCAAGAGGGGAAATCGTAATGGACCTGTGACATGGGGCCAAATAAAATCACTCTCGTTTCAGGCTGAACAGCTTAGAAAGGAAAAGCAGCTTGAAGCAACCCCTGAGAATTTGCTTCTGTGTATTATTTCCTGCCTTAATATTAATTCCATGATAGTGCTCATTCTCAGCGTTTTGTTTTTGCCTCTTTCTGCCTCCGCTCCTAATAGCGATAACCACACACCAACAAATGTGTGGGAATCTTTTGCAAAGACCCTCAATATTTCTTCCTTTTGCCTAACCCAACAGGTATCTATAGGGGAAATCCTTGGCTCCTGCCTTATCCCTGTTTGCCATGACCCTTTTGATATACAAAATGATACCTGGTTTTTCTCATCCCTACCCAAAAATGATTCTCTCTGCACCCTTGGTTATTCCGGTTACTATGTCTGGGGTAACCAAGTGCGCCGACACCCACCTCTGGCCATTGACTTATTGACCCCATACGTGGCTTCTTTTAATGTCACTTGTGCCCGTATGGTGAATTGCACAAAAACCAACTGTGTGAAAATGTGCAAGGATAATTTCCACTGCTCTAATTATGTAAATATTTCTTATGTATACAAGTACACAGAACTACCTGCAAGCTGGTTCTGGTCGTGTCCTGACTATACATTTAATTACATTCCAGCAAACATCAGCCATGGAACACCCTGTTGTTTAAGCCGTTTGTCCATCGTATTACCCAAAAAGCATCATTTGACCCGCTCTCGATATCGCCGCTCTATTGAATTAACTAACGATTGTGACGATTCAATTTCTCTTCCCAGTAGGTCTGAATATATCTCCTTAGCTGTTTCTCTCTTAGGAGTCCCTGGATTGGCTGTACGCAATAGTAGAAACATTAATTCTTTAGCTTGTTCTGCAACAAAAGCCCTGAATTATACTTATTCAAGCCCTTCACCTTTTGAATAAAGAACAAAGTGAACTCCAGCATGGACTTTTGCAGAACCGCGCTGCTATAGATTATTTGCTGATGCTTCATCATTATGGCTGTGAACAAGTGAATGGCATGTGTTGTTTCAATATTACTGATAATTCTAAAGCCATTCAAAGCCAAATCTCTCATTTGCAAAATCTTACACACCACATTAAACAGGACGTTGGATTTTCTGGCCTCTGGGATTCTTTCACCCAGTGGCTTACCGCTTGGTTGCCAAACCTTACTTGGCTTCGTAATCTCTTTCAATATGCCATTATCATAATATGTATCTTAATTTTGCTATGTTGCTTCCTCCAATGCATTCCTGGTCTCATAAGTCTTTTGTCTCGGCTTCTCTCTCCCCCTCAGCCACCCAATAAACTCCTTGCTGCCTACTTTGCGAAATGGCAGCACCAACAGTAAACATTAGGGGAGATGTGGACAGACTTATTTTGGGCATGCGCTGGCAGACCACGTATCCCGAAATATTTTTGTCCCGTCAACCCTGGCGAACTTATTTTGGGCATTCGCTGGCATACCACGTATCCCGAAGTATTTTTGTCTTATTCACCCAGAACACCTCGCAAACAAGAAAAGAAAGGGGGAGATGAAGGGAAGTTCTCTTTCTGCACATAACAGTGGCATTATGGGAAGTCCTGCTTCTTTTCTCTGGCATTAGGGGAAGTCTCGCTTCTAAGCTTTTCTCTGCTTCTGTACATACTGTACAACCCATTCTAAATACCAAGACATTCCCTCATTTCTCTAGGATGCTCAGTTCATCTTAAGTTCATGAAAACACTCTGACCTGTTCTTAATGCATAGCTGACCACATCTACGGAACTCGATTATTATATTCTTTCATGTTATGATCAATCATTAGTAATTGTTTTAGTCATGCTATATCAATCATTAGTTATAATTTAATTAGGAGGTTTCATGCCTGTCTAGTTCTGTGCTCCCTTTCCCAGCCTTTAATCTATTGGTGATTAATGCCCATATGTAACCCTTGCTTTGTACTTGTGTAAACCAATCAGCAACAAGTTGCTTTGTGTTTGTATCAACCAATCAGCAACTAGCGCACCTGTGGCAATGTTGTAATATTCAATAAAAGAGTCTTCTCGGGGCTTGCGCCAGAGATGCCTCTCACATGACACCTGCTACTCGTCTGTCGTGATTTCATTCCAACACCGGCAAACTTCAATGGCGCCCACACTCTTCCACTCACGCGCTGCCACTCTTCTCAGTTGTCGGACGTTAACACAGTTCACAAGCAGCGTAAAATGGCTTTTTCTGTGTCTGCGTGGTGTCTTCAATAACTCAGCTCGACACCAGTGCTTCTATTCTATCGCTCTTTATTTAGAAGCATACAAAAACAGAAAAGAACACAAAACTACCTTGCTCACATTCCCAGACAGACTGCTCTCAGCAACCCCCAGAGAGCACAGATCAAAGGAAAATGCCCGGGTCATGTGGGCAGTGCACCCAGTTGATAAGAACGCTCCTGGAGTGTTAACTCTTCACTGTCCAGAACCACAACACTTCCAAGATTTGGCAGCTTTACTACCACTACTAGCAAGTGACAACCCTTCCTGGATGCAGTGTGTGTGTGTGTGTGTGTGTGTGTGTGTGTGTCTGTCTGTCTGTCTGTCTGTCTGTCTCAGTCTCTCTATAGTGAAAGTCCTGCTGGCCTTAGCAATTAAGAGTGGCAAAAAGTTCAGTGGAATGTCAGAAGTGCCAGGAGGACTGCTGTGAGATGGGCAGCCCTCTCAGCCAAGGGCAGGAGGGGTACATGTTTATCTAGCAGAGCACTGAGCCCTTTGTGTTTCTTCCCACACAGCCTTCGCACGTCTGAAACCAGCTACCTGAATGAAGCCTTTTCCTTCTACTCTGCTATTTGCCAGAGGTCTTACTACTCCCAAGTCAACAAAGAAGACAGGTCAGGCCATGCCTCAGTCTTGTGAGTTTTTTGTAATTTAAAAATGAGAAGTGCTGGATTGTCAAACTTGTGTGACTTGGCAGCTGGTGGGCAGCCACTTTCTTTTTTTTAATATAATTTTTATTAGTTTTTTTAACATACCATTTTCAACAGTAATTAAACATACTTTTACATCTTATTCAAATTCTTGACTTCCATCAATCCTGTCTGAAAATTTTCCAATCTAATCTCTCAGTATGCATTTCGTATCCTCCCTATTACATTTCAAACTCATAACCAATATCTCTATCTTTTTCTACTTTGTAACACTTTGTATATTTCTCCTTACAAAACTTCTTGTAATCCTACTAGCGTAATTTGTTGATTACAGTTGCTCTTCAAATAATTCATATACTTCTTCCAATCTTCTGTAAATCTCTGGTCCCGCAGGTTTCGAATCCTTCCTGTCATTTTGTCCAGTTCTGCATAGTCCATTAATTTCGTCTGCCATTCTTCTTTCGTCGGAATTTGTTCTTGTTTCCATTTCTGGGCTAATAATACTCTTGCCGCAGTTGTTGCATATAAAAACAATTTAACAACTTGCCTATTAATGTCTTGACCTATAATACCAAGTAAAAATGCTTCTGGTTTTTTTAAGAATGTGTATTTCAACATCTTTTTCATCTCATTATATATCATTTCCCGGAAGTTCTTTACTTTTTAACATTCCCACCACATATGATAAAATGTTCCTTCTTTTTCTTTACATTTCCAACATTTATTATTTGTCTTATACATTTTAGCTAATTTCACTGGTGTAATATACCATCTATACATCATTTTCATCATATTCTCTTTCAAAGCATTACAGGCTGTAAATTTTATCCTTTCCTTCTACAACCTTTCCCATTCTTCAAACTGTATATTATATCCAAAGTCTTTTGCCCAATGTATCATTACCGATTTCCTCATCTTTCAAATGCCATTCCAACAGTATTTTATACATTTTAGACATTGTTTTACATTCATTGTTTAATATTTCTATTTCAAATTTTGATTTTTTATCATCAAATCCTTTTTCCTTTAAATCCTCTTTATATATTTCATTGACTTGGCGATAGTGCAAACAATCATTTACATATTCTTTAACCTCTTCATATGGTTTCATTTTCCATTTATTTCCTTTCCCCCCCAACAATTTCTCATAGGTAACCCAATTTTTACTCATATTTATCTTTTTCACACTCATAGCTTCTAATGGGGATAACCACCATGGTGTTTTACGTTCTAGTAAGTTTTTATACCTGTCCCACACTTCATATAGGAATCTTCGAAATATGTGATTACCAAATCCTTTATGGATTTTTGTTTTATTATACCATAAATATGTGTGCCAACCAAATCTATTGTCATAACCTTCCAAATCCAACAAATCTGTATTTCTTAACAGCATCCATTCCTTTAACCAACAGAGGCAAACCGCTTCATAATACAACTTCATAGTACAACTTCAAGTCTGGCAGGGCAAAGCCCCCTCTTTCTTTAACATCTGTTAACAATTTATATTGTATTCTTGGTTTCTTCCCCTGCCAGACATATCTTGAAATTGCTTTTTGCCATTCTTTAAAAGTTGCTGCCCCCTGGATTATTGGAATTGAGTGAAACAAAAATAACATCTTTGGTAGCACATTCATTTTTATAGTTGAAATCCTTCCCCAAAATGATAATTTCATTCTTCCCCATATTTCCATGTCTCTCTTAATTCCATTCCACACCGGTGTATAGTTATTTTGAAATAAATCTATATTCATTGTGGTTAACCAGATTCCTAAATACTTAACTTTTTAAACTACTTCTATACCAATTTCCTGCTGCAACATATCAACCAAGTCTTGTTTCATATTTTTAACTAATATTTTAGTCTTGCTTTTGTTTAATTTAAAACCTGCTACTTGTCCAAATTGTTCTATTTCTTTAATAACTTCTTTGGCATTATTTAATGGTTCTTCTATAGTTAGTACCAAGTCGTCTGCGAAAGCTTTCACTTTATGTTCTTTCCGGCCAACTGAAATTCCTTTTATTTTCTCATTTTCTCTTATTGTCCTTAGAAAGACTTCCAGTACCGATATGAATAATAACGGTGAAAGCGGACACCCTTGTCTTGTACCTTTCGTAATTTCAATATTTTCAGTTATTATATTATTTACTATCAATTTTGCTTTTTGATCAGAGTATATAGCTTTTATACCTTTTATAAACAATTGTCCAATGCCCATTAATTCAATATTCTTTATCATAAATTCCCAAGATATATTATCAAAGGCCTTTTCCGCATCTACAAACATTAACTTCGCTTGTTTATCATTCCTGGCCGTCAGATATTCAATTATGTTCACAATATTCCTTATGTTATCTTTCATCTGGCGACCAGGAAGAAAACCTGCTTGATCTTCATGTATTATCTCATTCATTACTATTTTCAATCTGTTTGCTAAAATACTAGCAAATAGCTTATAGTCATTATTCAACAGCAAAATTGGCCTATAATTTTTCACTTGTAGTAAGTCAGAATCTGGTTTTGGTATTAATGTAATATATGCTTCTTTCCATGTTTCTGGTATTTCTCCATTGTTTCATATATTATTCATCACTTCTTTCAACGGTACAAGTAGGGTGTGCTTTAATTCCTTGTAGTATTTTGCTGTAAATCCATCTGGCCCTGGTGCCTTTCCACTTTTCAATTGTTTTATTGCTTCTTTAATTTCTTCTTCCTCTATTCTTCCATTTAGCTGTTCCTTCTTCTCTGTCGGAATTTGTTGCACTCCTTTCTGTTTCAGGAATTCCTCTATCTTTTTTACGTCTTCCTTTCCAGTGTTTTAATACATTTGTTTATAAAAGTTAACAAATCCTTTTCTAATTTCTTTCAGATTTTCTACTTCTTTTCCATCCAATATTATTTTATTTATTGTACTTAGAGCTTTCCATTTTTTAATTTGCCACGCCAACCATTTAGCTGATTTGTTGGCATGTTCAAAGTTCTTCTGTCTCATTCTTTTAATATTCCATTCCACTTCTTGATTGATTATCATTGCAAATTGGCTTTGTAGCATCTTAATATTTTGATTAATTCTTAAATCTCTCGGATTTTTAATTAGTTTTTTCTCATTTTCCATAATCTGATTTAAGATCTCCTTTTTACCTTTCTCTCTAAATTTATTCCTGATGCTATTTTGTTGTATAAAGAAGCCTCGCATAACTGCTTTACTAGCGTCCCAAACAACACTTATTTTAGTTCCTTTATTACAATTATTAACAAAATATTCTGTTAGCATCTTTTGAGCCTTCTCATTAGTTTTTTCATCTTCTAACAAATTTTCATTCAGTCTCCATCGAAAGGTCTTTACATCCAATTCTTTTATTTCGCATCTAATTGCATTATGATCCAAAAATATCTTTGGTTGTATTTCTATTTTTGTTACTCTGGGAGTTAATTCACTGGAAAGCCATACGTAGTCAATTGTAGAAGTTGATTGATTTGGTTTTGAGAAATATGTAAATTGTTTGTCTAATGGGTGTCTCAGTCTCCAAACATCTATTAAATTACAATTCTCTATCATAGAGAAAAAGGTCTTTGGTAACTTCCCTTCTTTCCTATTCTCTTTTTTCCTTGTTATATCTATTTCCAATGAGACTACTCCATTCATGTCTCCCATAATTATAATTTTTTGATCCATAAATTCAAACAGTTTTTCTTCCAAATCTTTGTAAAATTCCATCTTACTACCATTAGGTGCATAGGTTCCGACAATTATCAATTTTTCACCTTGCCAGGTGACTTGTACTGCTATTACTCTGCCTTCTTAGTCCTTAAAGATTTGTTGAGCCTCTATTTTATTTTTTATATACATCACCACTCCTCTCTTCTTACTTTTATCAGATGAGATAAACTCATTTCCTAATTTTTTGTTGATCAGTACTCTTCTATGTTTTCTAGCTACATGCGTCTCTTGTAAGCAGATAATATCCAAATTCTTTTTTAACAAAAAATGTCCAATTCTGCTCCTTTTATTTCTATTGTTAATGCCATTTACATTCCATGTCCATAATTTCAATGCCATTTTGGCCTCCTTTGTAGTAAAGTTCTTAAGGTTCTTAAACCTGTCCCTCCTCCTCTTCTTCTTCTTCCTCTTCTTCTGATTTATTAATGTCTTCCTCCTCTGGTTCTGCTGCTGCTGCCTCTTCTCCTTTCCCCAACTCTTTATATCTTCTCAGAAATTTGTGTGTCACATTCTTAAATTTATTTTTTTTCTCCTTATAGTAGAATGAGACTCCTTCTGGAAATTCCTATTTAAATTCAATATTATTTTTCCTCAAAATCTGTGTTAATGTCCTATATTGGTCGTGTTTTTTCAACGACCGAAGTGGGACATATTTAAATATGATTGTATCCACTCCATCAATACATAATCTTTTTTCTCTATTCTTCTGCAAAATCAAATTTCTCATTTCTCTGTCTTTAAATATGATCAAACAGTCTCCTGGGAATTTTTTTGCCTTTGTTGTTCTTGTCTTAATCCTAAATGCATTTTGAATTGTTTTTGCCACATCTTGTGCTTCCATATTTAACCATTGTGCAATTTCTGTTGTAAATTTTTCTAAAATTTGTTCTCCTTGTGTTTCTGGTACAGATCTCAATCTCAAATTTGTTTCTCTCTGCCTCAGTTCATTCATAGCAATTGCATCCCATAGCCCTTCTTGTGTTTTGTTGATTTCTGAAACTTCTGTCTTAACTTTTTCCCTTTCTTTTTTAATATCTCTTACTTCTTGCTTTGTCCGCTTCATTCCTTCCCCCAAACTTTGTGTTCTTTTTGTTATTTCCTTCAACTGGCCTTTCAATTGTTCAACTGTCAAATCATATTTTTGATCCATTTACTGCAGTCTTGTCTCAATATTTTTTTCACTCTGTTTGATGTCCTTTTTTATTTCTGCAAACATTTTCAAAATTTCACTTTTATTCTCACTTTCTTGTTTTGACGCTCTCCTCTCTAGTGGTGTCCCTCCATCTCCTACCTTCTTTTTTTCTGCCATTACTTAATTGTAATTTTATAACTAATTGTATATTTGTAATTGAAGTTACTTAATTGTAATTTCCCCTTTCACCACTAGATATCACCACAGCAGTTTTCTTGCCTCTTAAATGGCTAATCCACAATTTCAATGAGTGAGCCCCAAAAACCACCCAGTTGAAGGTTAAAATGTAAATAAAAACCTGTCCACCAACAAAGGAAAAAATAGAACCAAATATAAAACGAACCACTTCTTCAGCTGCTTTTCAGCCTAATTCCACACGCAGACCAATTATCCATCAGTCAAAAGAGGAGGAAAATAAAGAAGATGCCAATCCAATAATCCAAAAATAATCCAGAAAGCAGAAGGGAAGACAGTGTATTTATCAAAAGGAGGATGGGAGATTCTCTCTAGACGCCAGTCCTCCAGCTCTAACAATCCACTCCAAGAAGGAAAGGAGGGGTTGATTTATTGTTTTACTCTCCGCTCCACACTTCCCTAAATTAGCTGCAATAAAAAGTAATAAAATAATAAATAAATAAATATCCAAGTTACTTTCAATTTGGTCTCAGTAGTATCTCCAAGCTTCTGTGGTTTGGACCATTTAAAGTTAAAAAGAAAGGCTGCATTTCAAAGTTTTAATTTCTGCTACGCAGTTACTAAAACTGAAAGTAAGTTTTCAGGAGGTTCTCTTCCTGCAAAAGCAGAGATTCCAGACAGATCGCTAATATCCACAAACAGAGGCTTTCACCTCTTTTAAGTTTATTATATATAATCCTCTTCTCCAGCAAATGTGTTTACTTTAAAGCAATAAATTCCACAGTAGGGAACATCAAGCCTTTTCTGTTCCATAAGAGCGTCCTGCTTCCCAATGCAATTCCCAGGCAGGGCTGACCTCCTTTTTTCCACCACGCTGCATCCGAATTGTTTTTAAATTTAAAAGCCTTTTGTCTCTCACCAATTCAAATGTGGATTTCTTTTCCTTTGGAGTCGATCACTGTGCTGGGCAAGCTTGAGGCTGCACTTCTCGGGAGTAGAATATGGCGACCCCAAGCCGGCGTCTCGATCTCACCAACTCTCTCACTCCTAAAAGGAATGTTTTGTCTGGTGGAGAGACCGCTCTTCGGCTCGCTGGGAACCTGCCCTCAGAATTTGCCTTCTGGGGTTTTGGGTGGCTTGCAGCGCCTATGCAATTTCCCCCCTACCCCCGAGAAGCTGGATTCTCCCCTGAGGATTGAATCCCGCTTGCTTTCAGCTCTGTGAATCAACCGGAAGTCCGGTGGGCAGCCACTTTCAGTTCAGTTGGCATCCCTTGGCTACCTGTGTGTCTCCTCCCTTGAGGTGCAGGTGTCGGCAGGAGCAGGGATGGGGGAACCTGTGGCCCTCCAGATGTCATTAGACCATAATGCCCATCAAGACCCAGCTGGGGGCTGGGGTGAAGGAGTTGCAGTTCAGCAGAATCTGAAGGGCTACAAGTTCCCTATCCCTGATTAGTCATAGGCAGCTGTTGAATGAGGGCCCGGGAGTAGGAGCCAAGTGACTCAATCAAGGAAGAAGCCAAGAGTTTATGTGAGCCAGATCCAGGAGAAACCTATTATTATCCAAAACTGTACTACATGGGTACCTGTGGCTCTCCATTTGCTCTTAGACTCCAGATTATTATTTTTATTTCAAAGTTTGTATCCTGCTTTTCACCATCTAGATCTCAAAGCGGCTTACAACAATAAGCTATACCATATACATAATTTAAGAACTAAATTAAACCACCAAAAGAAACCTAAAGAATCTAAAAAGAAAAAAGAAAGTAATGCAAAACATCCGAGAAGCATTCAGGGTGCAGTGGCCTCCTGAAACATAATGGTCTTGACCAGGTGTCTGAAACTCAGTAGGGACAGTGCCTGTCTAACTTCTTGTGGGGAGTTCCATAGAGTTGGGCCCACAACATTGAGGGTGCAGATCCTTTTTGGCATTGAGTTGTTGTTCTGGTTTCTCTCGCTCTCTTTTTTTTAAATGATATTTATTGAAAAAAAATTATAAAGTTACAAAAGAAAACAAAGTAGAAAAAGAAAAAAGAAAGAGCAAAGAAAAAACAAACCACATCAAACAATACAAATTCAAAAAAACAAAAATACACCACAAACATTTAAAAACAAATCCATTATTCTCAAATCCTCAACTGTCATTACCTTCTTTCTTTGACCTCCTCCTCCTTCCTTTTTTTGTATCCTAGTTGTTAATTGTCGCAGCAAATCCTTTCCATATTTCATAATATTCTGTCATTACATTACCTTAAACTATTTTAATCTTATCTTACTATAAAAAACCTTGAAACTTAAAACTTAAATCTTATTTTTACCAACTTCTCATAACCATAATATTCTTACATAATTCTTTAAACATTTTTACTAAAGCCAAGTAATTTCATTCCAACATTTTTCTAACATTCATCAATTTTATAAAACAATCCTAGTAGTAGAAAAAGAAATAAAAACAATCCAATCTTCATCCAGCGTCCCTTCCTCCTGGTCCCGGGTTTTGTCAGTCCTTATTATCCCATCGATCTAGCGCATTAACCTGGTAACCTTATGTCCGAGGCCCTTAAGTCTCTTCCATGTCCCTTCCGCAGCTCTTCTTCATATTTGTAACTGTATTTTCCCTTGTCTCCTGCTCGTTTCACTCGTGGGAACTCCAGCTTAACAATATTTTTGACCCTTCTCGACAGATCAGCCCCTTTTCCATAATCCACACTAAACTCCATGTGGTATTTAAGAACATGCTTCAAAATCCCTCCAAAATTAGGAGCCCCCACAATCCCAAACATCTCACGGCCCATTGCCAGACTTGAAAAGTCCAAACATCCCTGCATAGGGGGGTCTATCCAGCCCCCCATTTCCAAACCAAACCAAACTTTTTCTTTCCAAATCTGGCTTTTTCCAAGTTCATTTGTCAAATCCAAAAGCTCATGTTCCTGCAGGGCCACAGCTCCCTCCATCTCTGGCGCCCAAGATCCAGCAACATCCTTTTCCCTCATCTGTTCTGTCAGGGCACACTCCTGATTTAATTCCTGGGTGGGCTCCATATATTTTCCCACTGCCTGTTCAAAATTTCTGATCGAATCAGCCATCAAATCCGTCTTCTCATGTAGCTGTTCCAGTAGGGCATTTGTTTTATAGAAAGCACACAACAGAGCTTCTGAATACATTGTCCTGCAAGATCAGAAGTCTATTCTCACGATTGTAATCTGTAACAGCTGCAAGCTCCCCGGAGTTGGTTACAGTTTCACAGTCTCCCTCTAGGGGAAAAACTTCTATTTGTTCTTTCTTTTAAAGACAAGTCTAGCAACAAAGTTTCCTTTTTCAGATATTTTGTCAATATTTGTTCCTTTAAAAAGCGAAGGGGAACAATGGAGTCAATGTTTCTCTTCTTATAGCTATCTGTCAAAAACGTTGTCTCTGGTCAATGAGCTTCAAAAAACGTCAGTCCTAACACCCCGCTCCAGGATCAGGACGGTGGAAAGTTACTTTACTTTACCCTCACTTCTGCAGGTTTAAACAGTCCGAAAAAATCCCCCCTCTTCTCCTGCTTCCGAAGGGGGTTCAACAATTTTAAATGATGAAAGTTAATCTTTTACAGGCGATTTTCTGAGCTCTAGTTTGCCATGCCTTTGCTTTAATCTATCTACAAAGAAACGGAAGGCTGACTTCCTGTTTAGACCTTCCCGTTTCAGCGCCAAATTGAGGTAAACTTTTAAGTCCAATTTTCCTTTCTGCTCACAAGTCCTTATTTAGAGTCCAATTGTCCGAGTTTAGGTACTCACGGGTGATTATTTTAGAAGCCAGATTATCCCAGGAAAAAGGCAGCGCTCTCCGGCAACGGCTGTGCGGCTTCGCTCCATGGAAGAAGCAGTTGACTCTCAGCACCGCACCACTTCCCCCTCTTCGCTCCGGAGCCCGTTAATGGGTTCTTTTGCGGGTTGGGGGGGCGCTAAGGGTGCCCGCCGAGTCCCATGGTCACAGGCTTCATCCGCCTGTGATTTTTAAAAGGGTCCCCACTTCACCGTAGCGGAAAAGACCCGTTTCGCGTGGAGCTAGTCCCTCCAGATCAGAGGGAGTCCGCCATTGCCGATGGCGCCACCCCGGAAGTCCTGGTTTCTCATCTCTGTTCATTCAGAAGTCTTTTATAAGCCCTTCCTGTTGAGGAGAGCCAGTTACCACCCTGGCTTGGTGGAGCCACTTGGATATTTAGGAGCCCATCACTGCCCAGGGTACTGCTTCCATCAGTAACACATCCCCCTTTCCAGCGGATGTAACATTCCAGCCTGTGAATTAACAGGGTTTCCAGGGTGTTCTTCAGTAATATGGTTTATCTCTGCTGAACGTTCCAAAGTAATGGCCCCTCTAACACTTTGGCCAGCAAGTAGATAAAGAGAAAGAAAAGACACAAATACATGGACTAATGAGTAAGGCAACTCTGTACTTGGGTAGAGAACTTAGGGTAAAAGCAAGAACCCTAAGCCAAGTGCCACAGCAGATATCTTTTGGATGATATGAGTGTCGAGCCAGCTTTACAAGCCCATTTTTCCAGAGTCATTTGGGAAATAAGATCCTATTAACTAATTACAGTATAGATAGGGTGAGCCTACAGAATCAGCAACTTGCTGCAATCAGCCCTTTGGAACTGTCTTTCCTATTATGGCTGCTTACTTTTAAGGAAAGGGCTGGTGCTGTGATGTTTTTTATTTTAATGGTGTGTGTGTGTATTCCAAAATAATACAGCTTTTAACATACATATATATATATATATATATATATATATATATATATATATATATATTCTACTAATGCTTGTTTTTTAATATGTTTATAGTTGTTTCTATTTTAGTTGTCAGACGCCTTGAGTCCCATTAGGGAAAAAGGCGGGGTATAAATAAATACAGCAGCAGCAGCAACAACAACAACAACAACAACATAATACCCCTGGTGGGCTTTACTGCAGGGGAAGCAGAATACAAAACTGTAGGTTCCCACAGGAGCCCCAGTGGCTACTGCAGAGAGGATGAAGGGCTTGGGATCTTTGACCTGGAACCCCCTTCCCAGCCAAACATGCCTTAAATGCTTTGGAGCTGCTTTGGAGAACAGTGTTTTGGAAATACCTTTCTGATATCTTCATCAGAGGTGTGAAACCAGTCCTGGGGTGCTCTTTGCTAGGGATCATCTACATAAGACTCCTGGGTGCCAGGATGCCTGCCACTGCCTTCTATGCCACCCACAAAAGGTCTTAGGGAATATCTGTTCAAAAATCCACAATGCATGATGATAAACTGCGAGAAATGTCACAACAACAATGGGTACAAACTTGGGACTTCAAACATCTTGCAAGGTGCTGCCAAAAAGAGCCCCCCCCCCATTTTAACAGGGGGTTCCCATGCAAGCCCTTTCCTGGTTCAGGAAGGGGTTTTCATGCAATCCTGCTAAGCTTGAGCAGGATTTAACTTCTCATCAGCTGAAGAGTGGGAGTTAGTTAGTTAGTTAGTTAGTTAGTTAGTTTGTTTGTTTTGTACACTGCCCTTCACCTGAGGGTTGCTGAGTGCTTTATAGTATAAAAACACTGGTGGGAAAAGGCATGCCACAGGCATTGCAGGATTTAACCCTACCTCCCATCATATGTTGTCACTAGTGATGCCAGCTGATGGGGTGGCTGGGTAGGCATGGTTTGGGGAATACATCCTTGGGGGCCAAGATTGCCCCACAGACTGAAGCTTACCCAATCCTTTTCTTAAGGGATACAAGCTTTCTTCTTGCATGCTCTAAATCCAGCCATTTTGTTCCTTTCTGTCAGAAGTTGGATTTAGTAACGGAGGAACCTGCCTTTTTCCAAGCCAAACTATTTGTCGATCTCACTGGCCATGGCTTTCCAGGGTCTCAGGCAGGGAAAAGTATTTCCCCATCTGCAGCCACCTGAGTCATTTGGCTGGAAGTGCCAGACATTGAATGTGGGACCTTCTGCATGCAAATCCTGTTCTCCAGAGCTATGATCCCTCCCATTGGCCTGATAGCTGTGCTGGCAGGTAGTAGAGAGGCACGTAGACCTCCAGAGTAAATTATCTCTGGTCCTCCTAGCACTCGTCCTCTCAAGCTCCAATAATTCTGTCATGGCTAAAAATTGGCCGCTGTTTCTTTAATGCTAAAAGAACTAAGTCAGCGGCCTACAATGACTCATGCAACCTTTCACCAAATTGTACCTGTATATATAGAGTGGTTAATGTTAGTGTTGGTGTGGGTTGGTTGGATGGTAGAAAGCTGGTTGCGTTTGCTGTGTGTAAAAGCTGTTGGTCGTGGTTGGAGAAGAATACTTTTGAGATTTTTGAGAATAAAAGTAACATTCTGCAAAGTACTCTTTCTTAAGGACTCTTTGTGCCAACTAAGGTCTGAGGACTAGGCAAAGGAGTAAAAAGGAGGTCAGAAGCTTTTCTTTTTCAAACACTGACAAATTCTACATGCACTGAAAGTGAAATATTTTCTGCCTATACTACAGCTGCGCTTAAAATCTAACATGGGCATCACTTGATATTCCTTCACAGGAGCCATGTTCCTCTTCATTTCTCTTCTATCTGCTAAATAATTTTCCCTTCTCCAATTTTCTTTCCTCTTTTTTTCTTCCCTCCCAGGCCTGAATTGGTAGTTAAGAAGCTGCATTATTATGCAAGATTCATTGTGGTTTGCCTTTTACCGAACAAAATGGATGTCATCAAGGATCTTGTAAAGGTAAAACCATTGTGTACCATTGTGATGTGTGTAGTTAAGACTTTGCACATGCTCCAAGGAGCTCGGAGCCTTGTATTAGCTTTGCAACGACCATGTGAGTGCATGTTAAGTTGAGGATGGCCAGAAAGCATTTGTGCCTGGCTTTCCCCCCACTGAAGCTCAGCGTTCTAATCACTATGCCACCTTGACTGTCCAATAGCAATTCCCAAATTCTGTGCAGTGAGAAATTAATGGAAGGGTCCTGGAATCTCAGGGTATCCATCCATGGAGGAGGCTGTTGTGTTGCTGTATGAATCATTGCCCTATTCTTGCCTCCTTCCAGTCAGCCCCTGCCTTGGTGCAGATTGTACTTTGGGTATAAAGTGCAGTTGGATTGCTCCCATCTGGAAACCAATGTCCCCACTGTGGAAAGACATGTGGATCCAGAATTGGCCTCCACAGTCACTTATGGACTCACTGTTAAAACCGTGTTTATGGAAGACAATCTTACTCGGCTACAAGTGATTGCCAAAGAAGAAAGAAGAAGAAGCCTCAGAACTGCCCACTCTTAGGATTAAATGGCTTTTCTGGGCTTTCTTCTTTTTCCAATCAGGTTTTTGGCTGCTCTCTCCCTCTCAGTTTTTCCTCTTTCACAGGGTTGTTACGAAAGTTGCGCGAGTACAAAAGTGCATGCAGAAACATCGGAGAGTGGGGTAATGATTCTGGTATACTATAAAGGCGTAAACCTCTCCAAGTGTAAGAGTGAAACAGCAGTGCTTCCATTATTAATTTGAAGTGGTGAAGTTTGTCTTGCCTGTATAAAAAGAATATCGGGCACAGTATTCTATGACGGGGTCTGGTCTGCAAGCTTCATTCAGGTGACCCACAGCTTGTCTGCAGGAGAAGCAGTTGTGAATGGAGGGTGCAACTTACTGCTCTGTTGTTCTCAGAACTCAGCAGTTCACCTGGAAGCCAGGTGGTATGGACCTGAAGTGATGGAGGGAGGAGGCACTTGAAAGGAGTGGAAAGCAGTGGATTTAATAGAAGGCTGCATTTAAGGAGTTCATTCTTGAGTAAATTAAAAATCATCTAGCATAGTGCATTATTATTATGGTTATTGTTACATTTTTACCCACAGTTCCTCCAAGGAGTTCAAGGTGGTGTACATATTTCTTCCTCTCTCAATTTTATCCTCACAACAGCCTTGTAGGTTAGACTAAGAGACTATGACTGGTCCAAGGTCACCCAGTGAGCTTTGTGGTCAAGTGGGGCCTAGAACTCTGGTCTCCCAGGTCTTAGTCTAGCACTCTAACTACTACACCACACTGGCTCTGCATTACAATAGCTACACAGTAATTAAGTGATCTGCCAACACTGTTGGGATCTCCGCTCGGCCAAGCTGATAAAGCTGCCTTCAAAGCTTTGGTGCCATCTAGTGGTTGCACTGCATTCTGGGATGACATCTGTGAGGACTCCCCCTTGGTGATGCATCTAGCACTACGCCGATCCGCTTCATTCAACACCACAGCAGTAACATGCGCTACCGTTAGCTGAGCAGTAGGCAAAACAGCAAGCTGGCTGGCAATTGCTTCCCAACTTAAACCCAAAGAATGTAGAATCATGAAGGAATACACAGCCTCTGGAAAGGTGATTCCACACTGTTGCAACTCATGCCTGAGATTCTGCATTTCCATGAGGTGAGCACGTACGTCTGCTCCATCTGCAAGTGCCATATCATGCAACTTGGCATAAAAGAACAAAGAAGCTCCCGCCTCTGTTCTTAAATGTGACTGTTGGAGACTGTCCCACATCTCTTTGGCTGAGGCCTTGTTATGCAAAAGACATAACTCTTCAGGGGACACAATAAGAGTCAGAGTTCCCCTTGCTTTGGAATCCTTAGCCTCCCATTCTGCAGTTACTGGAGCTGGGGGGGGGGGGGGCATCTGTTATCACATTAAACAGACCCTCTTTTCTTAGCAGAGCTTCTGCATACTGCACCCAGTCCTGATAATTCCCTTTGGAGAGCTTAGGAATTCCCAACGCAAAATGAAGAGCCTCCTGTACTTTTGGATTAGCCATTTTGTGTCTTTTTACAAGCAGCTGCATTCCAAAAGCACACTCATGAGACTTTTGCTTTCCTGCCGCAGCCGGTCAGTGCTCTGGCTAAAAGTTCAAAGTCCACCCTTATTGCCATTAATTAGGGACTGGCAGGCTTCCCGGGGCAATGAGCACATTGTTGTTGTTGTTGTTTAGTCGTTTAGTCGTGTCCGACTCTTCGTGACCCCATGGACCAGAGCACGCCAGGTACTCCTGTCTTCCACTGTCTCCCACAGTTTGGTCAGACTCATGTTTGTAGCTTCGAGAGCACTGTACAACCATCTCATCCTCTGTCGTCCCCTTTGCCTTGTGCCTTTTATCTTTCCCAACATCAGGGTCTTTTCCAGGGAGTCTTCTCTTCTCATGAGGTGGCCAAAGTATTGGAGCCTCAGCTTCACGATCTGTCCTTCCAGTGAGTACTCAGGGCTGATTTCCTTAAGAATGGATGCATTTGATCTTCTTGCAGTCCATGGGACTCTCAAGAGTCTCCTCCAGCACCAGAATTCAAAAGCATCAATTCTTCGGCGATCAGCCTTCTTTATGGTCCAGCTCTCACTTCCATACATCACTATTGGGAAAACCATGGCTTTAACTATACGGCTCTTTGTTGGCAAGGTGATGTCTCTGCTTTTTAAGATGCTGTCTAGGTTTGCCATCGCCTTTCTCCCAAGGAGCAGGCGTCTTTTAATTTCGTGACTGCTGTCACCATCTGCAGTGATCATGGAGCCCAAGAAAGTAAAATCTCTCACTGCCTCCATTTCTTCCCCTTCTATTTGCCAGGAGGTGATGGGCCCAGTGGCCATGATCTTTGGTTTTTGATGTTGAGCTTCAGACCATATTTTGCGCTCTCCTCTTTCACCCTCATTAAAAGGTTCTTTAATTCCTCCTCACTTTCTGCCATCAAGGTTGTGTCATCTGCATATCTGAGGTTGTTGATATTTCTTCCGGCGATCTTAATTCCGGCTTGGGATTCATCCAGCCCAGCCTTTCGCATGATGAATTCTGCATATAAGTTAAATAAGCAGGGAGACAATATACAGCCTTGCCGTACTCCTTTCCCAATTTTGAACCAATCAGTTGTTCCATATCCAGTTCTAACTGTGGCTTCTTGTCCCACATAGTGATTTCTCAGGAGACAGATGAGGTGATCAGGCACTCCCATTTCTTTAAGAACTTGCCATAGTTTGCTGTGATCGACACAGTCAAAGGCTTTTGCATAGTCAATGAAGCAGAAGTAGATGTCTTTCTGGAACTCTCTAGCTTTCTCCATAATCCAGCGCATGTTTGCAATTTGGTCTCTGGTTCCTCTGCCCCTTCGAAATCCAGCTTGCACCTCTGGGAGTTCTCGGTCCGCATACTGCTTAAGCCTGCCTTGTAGTATTTTAAGCATAACCTTGCTAGCGTGTGAAATGAGTGCAATTGTGCGGTAGTTGGAGCATTCTTTGGCATTGCCCTTCTTTGGGATTGGGATGTAGACTGATCTTCTCCAATCCTCTGGCCACTGCTGAGTTTTCCAAATTTGCTGGCATATTGAGTGTAGCACCTTAACAGCACCATCTTTTAATATTTTAAATAGTTCAGCTGGAATATCATCACTTCCACTGGCCTTGTGGCCTTGAGCACATATCTCTCATCAATCGTCTTGACACGCAGAGAAGATAAGAGCTGCATTCCATTATTCAGGGCTCGGAACCAAAAATGTCGGGATCTTCGCTCGGCCAAGCTGATAAAGCTCATTTTGCTCTGGCCGAGTCCTTCGTAATCACCTCCCGACGGGATTAACAACCTGAGCCTTTGATGAAGCCCCAGGCACATTCCTATCCAGCAGAGAATCAAAGCAGCATGCGGAAGTGATGAGAGGTTTGGGCTACATGGCTAAAGAGTTTGTTTCTTACTACGCAGACTGAAAACACATCCTCTCTCTGTGAAAGCAGAGAGCAACTGAACAACAAAGGAACAGGAAACCACTAACGTCACATCCATCTCCCGTGAGACTTCCAACAGTATGGAATGTGTGGAATGTAAACAGAGTCTTGTGACTCCAAAGCACTGCTCAGTGGCAAACAGAAACTAACAAACACCCATAGCACTTTCCAAGTAGTTGCGGGTGGGAGCAGTGGAAGTTTGGGAACCACTGCTCTGTAAGAACAGTTGCACATTTGAGAATATGATAGCTCACCGCTGAGATGCATGATATGGTGAACGAAGACGGATCAGAGAAGATCAGACCAAAGAATACACAGAGCCTTTGGAAAAAATACTGATCGAGATCTGCCTGAATATGAGAGTAGAATGGTAAAGTGAGAGGTAGCAGATAATGAAATGGAGAGGACCTTCACACAGGTGGCTGGAGGAGTGGAACAGACAAATGATTAAGTTGTGATCCTGGAGGAGGGGAATGAAACCATTAACAGACATTAAGAAACATCTTGAGATGGCAGAGATAGAGCTGAGAGAGAAATGATCCTGTGTACAAGGTGGAGTGAATTCAGAGGAAAAAACTACCAAGCCTGTGCCAATTCTCTTGGGGGGGGGGCAGGATGGAAGAAGAGGAAATGGAAGGAACTTTTTTCCAAATTAGGACAGAAAATCATGGCCAACAGGAAATGGGATTGGAAGAGATGGAACTGGGTACAAATTAATGAATATACAACAAGTGGATAACTATGGATTATTATCCTTATAATGGATGTTGGTTTTTTATTTTTGTTTTTGAGATAAGGTCCACATACCGGATTGGAAGAAGACTATTCTAGGCATGTATTGATAATAACAACTGGGGAGCCCCTTTTGGACTTTTTTGTGGAAATGAGAATGAATTTAGGGTGTCTGGGGTTGAAGATTGGGAAAACATCATCTAGCTGAATGAGAAACAGCTGGATATAATCATGAAATACAGCTAGATACTAGCATTGAGAGCCAGTGTGGTGTAGTGGTTAGGAGTGGTAGACTCGTAATCTGGTGAACCAGGTTCGTGTCTCCGCTCCTCCACATGTAGCGGCTGGGTGACCTTGGGCTAGTCACACTTCTTTGAAGTCTCTCAGCCCCACTCACTGTTGGCATGCAACCAAGGAAATGGGGGCAATTGGCAGGCCCCCCCAGCTGGCACCAGCCCACCGGCCAGTGTGCCGGGTGATCTCCAGTCCTTGTTGCAGCATCTGCGACCCGAGCTTCAAAAGCTGGGGCATGCAACTCAGCAGAGTAAACTCGCAAAAAGAAGTGGCAGGAGAGGCTGTGTGAGCATATTTACAAGCAATTTATTCAGCATACATCAGGACAAAAGGAAACATGTCTGATCTCCTTCGTGTCCAAAGCAAGGCAGCTAAAAGCAAAAGCTATACACAAACAGAAGTTCCCAGCAAGCTGTGCTGGAGTGTAAACAGACATGTGACATACAACAATTCCACACGTCTGTTCTTAAGATGGAATGGAATATTCTAACATCTTTCATTGTAACCTGTGTCACCTGTGTCACAGTATTTCAACCCAACTGCAACCTCTGTACATTAACCTGAAGTTGTTCTCTGTTAACAACCTTAGACAACAGATCTGCAGGAATTTCGTTTCCTGGCATGTAGGACACCTGAATGAGTCCTTTCTGGATACACTCCCTTGCACAATGTAACTTTATCTGCAAGTATTTGGTCCTTTGCTTGCAACTCTCTGAGGCCAGCAAAGCCAAACAGGACCCGTTGTCTTGATACACCTGTATAGGACATGTCACTTTGACCCTGACATCCTGAAACAGTTGCATCAACCATTCACAACCCGTGAGTGAAAATGACAGGGCATTGAGTTCTGATTCATGGGGACTTAGGCTTACTGTCGTCTGCTTCTTGCACAGCCAGTCAAACAGACAGTGGTTGTACATGTAGCATACTCCAGAAGTGCTTGTACCATCCGTGGTGTCACTTCCAAAACTAGCATCTGCAAAGATTTCAAGACCTCCAGTCTTCTGACTGGTGAACCTCAGCCTGTAGTGCAAAGTCCCTTTCAAATAGCAGGCTATGCGCTTCAGAGCTTTCCAATCCTGAACAGTAGGATTGTTGGCATGTCTGCTAAGCAGGTTAGTGCTTACAGCTATGACAGGTCTTGAACATCTAGCAATGAAATTCAGCTTGCCTAGAATGCATCTGTACAGCGTGGTATCAGAAAATGCTTCAGCAGTACTATCTACCTGGTAACCTGTCACCATCGGTGTGTCTGCTGGGTTTGCATCAACCAAATTCAGCCTTGTTAATACAGGAACGATTTTCTGTGTTTGGTGTACCAGAAAATAACCTGCTTGGTCCCTCTCCACCTGCAGAGAAAGATAGTTGGATACCTCACCAAGATGCTTCATGTCAAAGTGCTCCTTCAGCTGAGCGAGGGTGCTTTGGTACAAAGCCTGATTCTTCCAAAACAGAAGAATATAATCAACAAAACACAAACAATACAGTTTGTTTTGCCCCTCCTCCTTGACAAAGACACATGAATCAACTTTGCCTTGGTGAAAACCTAGAGAAAGCAATGTCTCAGTGAGTTTTGTGTTCCAACACCTGGCACTCTGCTTGAGACCATATAAGGATTTCCATAGTTTACAGACCATTCCTTTCTGTGTCTGCATTCCATCAGGTGGAAACATATACAGCTCCTCCCCCAAAAACCCGTACAAAAAAGCTGTGTTCACGTCGTGATGAGAAACGTGCAGTTTCTCCTCTGCAGCAATCGTGAGCATTAGCCTAATGCTCTTATACTTGATGGTGGATGAGTAGGTCTCGTGGTAATCCTGTCCTGGTACCTGTGAAAAACCTCTGGTGACCAATCTGGCTTTGTGCCTGACAACCTTGCCATTCTGGTCTGTCTTGGCCTTAAAGACCCATTTGCTGTCCACCAGCCTCATTCCTGGAACTATTGGCACCAGCTCCCAGGTTTAGTTCCTATTCAAGGAATCAATTTCAGCCTTCATCTTTAGATGAATTTCAGGCTCAGCATCTTTAGTAGTTAACTCCTGGATCTCTTAGAAGCTTAAAGGTTCCCATACCTTCTCTGAGCTACTAATAACATCAACTGCTGTTTTAGCAAACTCATCAGGATACCTCTTTGGAGCTTTGCCTTTTGTGACCCTTTCAGATCTGCGTACTAGATGCAAGTCTTCTGCACTCATCTCCTCTTTCTTAGGAGAATGGTGGCCAATGGTGAACAGTGGTTCTTCCAGTTCAGTGTCAGACGCATCAGATGGTCTGAGAGAGGCCTTTGTGCTTTTGTAGTCTGCTTTGTCATCACTGTCGCTGACATCAGCAGCTGCACCGCCCACTGAGCTGGAATCCGAACTCTGATCATCATCCTCAGCTTCCTCTGCTACCTCATCATCCTCATCTTCTGAGTGACTCTGGAAAATTCCCACATTCCCCCCCCCCACTTGGGATTGTACTCAACACTCTTTGTAAACCGTATGGTCTTAGTGTCAGTCATGAGTACCCTGTATGCACCTTTTTCGTACCCCATGAACAAACCATGTCAGGGAACTGCAGGTAGAGAGGGGAGGTTACAGGGGAAGATCTCCTTTAATCAGCAGTTTCTCGTCCTCAGAGGAAAGGGAAGACAAAGAGGGGAGTGACACTGAGAGGGAGGGGGAACTTCCGAGTGTTAATGCCTCTCGTCACAGGAGGAGGAGGGGGCTGGGAAGTTGGTGGTGTTTGCCCCACCTCAAAAAGAGAAGCGTCAGAAGGAACAACTCGCCATGATGAACGGACTGTTTTTCTTGAACTGCTTGTAAATACGCCAAGTGCAATAAAGATAACAGATTATGGCTGGGTGCCTGGATTTTTATCTCCTCTCAGCGTTACAAATCAAGGGGTGCTAGCTCTCCCTGACACCCACACTTTCCAAGCTTGCTGCTCTGTGGGGTGTGGACCCACATGTCAGAACCAAAGATTCTCATGTGTTTGACGTAAGGTTTCTTACCAAACATCTTCTCATAGGGAGTACAGCCAATAGGTGAAGACAATCTCCTGTTATACATGTAAACAAAATTAGAGAGTGACTCTGCCCAATATTGCTCAGGAAGATTGGCATCATGCAACAAGGTTTTTAGGTCTTGCAGCAAAGTTTGATCGCCCTTTCACAAAGTCCATTCTCCCAGGAAGACCTAGGACTTGAGAGGTCATGCTACATTCCCTTCTCAGTCAGAAAAGCTTCAAACTGCTGAGAAGTGAATTCACCGCCTCGATCAGTAAGCAAACAACCCAGATGTCTGCCGTGGGCATTTTCCAACCAAGCACAGAATGCCTTGAACCTAGGAAACTCTTCTGATTTCTGTTTCAGCACGAACACATGAATGTACCTGGAAAAAGAATCAATTAAAACCATGAAGTACCTTGCTCTACCCAAAGAGGGTGCAAGTGGACCAACCAGGTCTCCGTGGACTAGCTGATAGGGGTTAGAAGTCTGCCTGCTAGACACTTGCCTTTGGGTGCAACCTTAACTTTGTGTTCTGCACAAGAGACACATTTCATTTAATACCTGCAGGGTTTGATGGTTAAACCCTGAACCTTCTCTGGCATCTTGGCTAGCGCTTGCCATCCCAGGTGACCAATTATTCAATGGTGTGTATGAATACAATCTAAATGAAGAACTTTCTTAGTTTGTGCAACACAGCAAGATTCAACATTAGGCACATTAACACCAGTGTCATCATAAGTTATCAAGAACAATCCATCTACAAAACTAGCATGCAAGATGTCCTCATTGTTCTTCCTGATGACACAGATCCCCTTCTTGAAGGAAATTTCAAAGTCTTGCTCAGTCAGCTGTGGGATACTGAGCAAATTGTCTGCTGAGTCAGGAACATACAGTACTTTACTGATGGTGGTGTGCAAACTTGCCAGCTTCACTGTTCCAATCTCAGCAACCCGCAAAGTCTTACCATCAACCTGTTGAATTGCTCCATCCTGTGGTGTAAAGGAGATAAACAAGTGTCTGTCCCTTGCAATGTGCTGCGACGTGCCTGAATCCACAACAAATCGGGCTTTGGCTTTTGGAGAAGCAGTGCTAGCAACCAAAGCCTTGTTCTGCACTGTTTTGGGCTTTTGGCCCCCCTTCTTCCGGCCATCTGCAGACTTTTTCCTCTGTTTACCTTTTGCCTTTGGACAATCCTGCTGGATTTGACCTTGGTTCCCACAGAACAGGCACTTCACAGCTGCCAACTCCTTAGCTCCCCCCTGGTGGCTGCAATGCTGTTCCAGGTGATGTCGCAGTCTGCTCCCCCTGAAGCATGCAACCAGGGTCTGCTGCGTTCCTCTGATCATACTCATTTTGGAGGACGGCCAAAACCTTTGCTGCAGTCAGGTCTTGGGCAGGTAGAGTAGCCAGCTTGGCTTGTCACAGCATGGTAACTCATCCAGGGAGTCCAAAATCAGGACAGCAAATAAAGACTCAGGCATAGTGAAACCTCTATGCACTGATTCCTGTCTTAACTTCTGCAAGTTCAATACATGGGCTCTCAGGTCTCCCCCTGGCTCAAGCTTCTTTCTGTGCAGCTTTCTGAAGTAAAGCAATACAGACCCAGCTTCTGTTCTCAGATGCAAATCGCGCAACCCTTCCCACATCTGGCACGAAGTGGTCTTGCCAGCCAGGGTAATTAACTCCTCCAGAACTACTGACAGGAGAATTGCCCCCATGGCCTTGGAGCTGGCTGCAGACCATGCTTCTGTGATTTGAGCCGGGGGATCTACAGAAACAGTGTGCCACACTCCAAGCCATCTCAATTGACCCTTGCAGTACTTTGCCCAGGTCTGAGAATTTTGTCCATTTAAATGTGGACAGGGAGCCCCATCAGACGCAGTCTGTAAAAGATCCATTCCTGCTTTTTACTTCAGCCAGGAACTGAGCTCTTCACAGGTCATAAATCTTAGCAGGTCGTAAATCAACGCAGCCTGCTTCTTTCTGGCATTAATTGCTTGGCACGGACATCAAAGGCCCTCTATGTGGGGAAATGCTTCACTCCACATACCTCTCTACTTGCCAGGTCGATACAACAGCCATCAGCAGCCTTACTCTCATGTAAGCGCCGTGGATCTGGACCCATAACCCTGTTGTTGGCATGCAACCAAGGAAACGGGGGCAATTGGCAGCCCCCCCCCCCCCAGCTGGCTCCAGCCCACCGGCCAGTGTGCCGGGCGATCTCCAGTCCTTGTTGCAGCATCTGTGACCCGAGCTTCAAAAGCTGGGGCATGCAACTCAGCAGAGTAAACGCGCAAACAGACGTGGCAGGAGAGGCTGTGTGAGCATATTTACAAGCAGTTTATTCATAATACATCAGGACAAAAGGAAACATGTCTGATCTCCTTCGTGTCCAAAGCAAGGCAGCTAAAAGCAAAAGCTATAACAAACAGAAGTTCCCAGCAAGCTGTGCTGGAGTGTAAACAGACATGTGACATACAACAATTCCACACGTCTGTTCTTAAGGTGGAATGGAATATTCTAACACTCACCTCACAGAGTGTTTGTTGTGGGGTTGGAAGGGAAAGAAAAATGTTAGCCGCTTTGAGACTCCTTCGGGTAGTGATAAGGCAGGGTATCAAATCCAAACTCCTCCTCTTCTTCTTCCTGCAGTGAACACTTTGAATATTCTGAGTAATCTTTATTTACATAATTGAGAGACTGAGAATCAGAAGTTCTCACCACTCTTTTTATGTTTTATTATCTTTTTCTTCATGTAGTTTTCCTTTTCCTTTTTCCTTTTATCCACTATGCTTTTGCTTATTTTTCGTTTTGTTCATTATGTCCTCTACTCTGGCTTAATGAGGTTGGAAGGTGATGGTTGGCAGGTGAAAGACCCTGCTTGAGAGGCAGGGAAGGGAAGATCTCCCAGGGTTGGAGGCTGGGAGAAGAAAGGGAAGCTCCCAGGTGAGACAGGAAGGTCAACCCCTTTCTATGGGTCCCAACCTTTGGGAGAGGGCTTTTTTCATCATCCACCTGCCCCGCTTTCTCTTTTTCTTTTCTTTCTCTCTTTTTTGTTTTTTGCTTTTACTTTTGTTTAGATTAGTTTGATTACTTTGTTTTTATTATATTGTATGTTGAAAAATTTCAATAATGATGATGATGATGTAGCACAGCTTGCTAGGAAGCGGAAATGTGCCAACCAGCGTGGATGTGGCTGTGCACCATGGATCCTCAATTTCTCACCTCTAGTTTACTGCTGTTACTGCTTCCCTGAACACTCTAAACAATTATTTTTGAGCATTGCCACATGTTTCCTTACTTACTGCACATGCCTACTCACAAAATCTAATCAAGTTAGCCCCCCGACTCAAAGCAGCACTAAATCATCTCATTTGTTGCTCTCTGTGCTTTCTAGGAATTGTCAGATGAGATTGAAGACTACACCCACCACTTCAGCACGGACGACCAAGTGGAGTGGAATCTGGTTCTCCAAGAGGTGGCTGCATTTGTCGAGGTGAGGACTTAAAAGTGAATCGCTGCATTTTCCTTTCTTTCTGAAAAAGCTCAGTATCTTCCCAGATCTTGACTCATATCCTACATCTTCTGCAACAATCCTCAGGCAAAAGGGGCATTTAGCTCAGTGTTCTATCTTCTACAGTAGCTAGGCAAATCCCCTAAGAAATTGGCAAGCAAAGAATGTTGGAGTTTTCCCATTTGTTCCCAACATCGGGTAGTTAAAGGGTGCTGCAGAATATGTAGGCCCTTAATTCTTACAACTAATACCTCTTGTCTTCTCTGTTAATTGGTATTTTTAGCAAGCCATCTGAGCTAGTTACCATTATTGTAGTTTGCTATTATGGGAAGCAGAGTTTTTGTTTAAAAGGCAAACCACACACCCATGCTTCTAGTTCTCATTGTTTTAGTGAGAAGCTTTTAAACGCTGAAAGAAACGGGAGGTCATTGTCTTCCCTCTGTGCCTTCAAGTTATCTCCTACTACCCATTCCCCCTCCTAGTAACTCACTTCCTGCTTCTATATAGTCCTTTGCCTTTTCCAAATAGGAACAATTGCTTTCATAGTGTTAGAAAAAGTAAATTGAGCAACATTATACAAGGGAAGCAACACCACTCAGTGGTAGAACATCTGCTTTGCATGCAAAACATCCCAGATTCAATCCCCAATATGGCATTTCCAGGGATGTCCCCTGTCTGAGACCATAGGGAGTCATGACCAAAGAGTGTTGGCAATACTGAGTTTGATGAGCCAGTGGTCTGACTTGGTATAAGGTAGCTTCCAGTGTTCCTAAGGTAATATAATTTTTGCCAGCATGTATGTGTATATATACAAAAAACAGAATTATTTATTCCTGAGTGGGCAGGAATAGAATGCAAGAGCCCTACTCATAAGCCAAATCTTGTGAAGGAAATATGTGTAATTAAGACTAGAATCTTGCAGGGAAAATTCCTTTGATCGCAGCTGCTCTTATTACTCCTGGACTTTCAAAAGCTCGCAGTAATATATCAGAGGCTGATTTGCAGTTCACCTGGTGCTGCTCCATCCTCATGGTAAAGCGAGTCTTCGCCAAAAGAAACAAGCTTAGTACAGGATAATTGACAAACAGAATCTCTGTGAGGAGAACCTGAGCTTACAGGGTTAAACAGCTCAGAGTGTACGCCCTGCCTACTATTGGGAGGGGGGAGATTCTGCGTCATAGCCGAGAGTCTAAACCCTTTGTTCTCTCTACTTTCGCTTTTGAGGAGAGTGGACGTGTTTTCACGATGCTGTTCAACAATGGATAGTCTGCTGTAAATAAAAACTGCTTCTAGCTGCTAATATCCTGAGTGGACTTTATTTAAGCACACTGAAGAAAGCACTGAAGTTTGCAGCTTTCTCTTACCGCTGCTTAACTCTGCGTTTGCTCAGAGCATCGGAATGTGGCCCTTTGAAGTGCGGAGGCCTGGCTGGTAGCTGCGCAGCCGAAACGGGCTGGACGCCAGGACTTATCTGAGCAATAAATCTTCTTCAGGTTATGGGCGACAGTTACGACAGTTACGGAAAGCCTGCTTTGATGTGCTGTGTGCTTTAAAAAGGCTGAGAAAGTTGAGAAGCTGCTGTTTTGCTGCCGGAAGAAAAAAAGTCCTGCTTTGAGGCTTTGCTTGGGAGAAAGCAGGGAAACTGGCTGCAATGCTGTGTGCTGCAAAGAGTCGCTGGAGGCCTCTCCTTTGAAGCTGGCTGGTATGCGTGAATACTTCAAAGCCCCAATGGGAGCACTGGGGGAGGAGATGGCTGAGCTCCAGGACTTTTATGATGTCCCGTTTGAAAAGCTCACAACCCAGTCCTGGGATATCTGGGTTAGGAGAGTAAGGGGGTGGTTTTTGGCCACAGGGCTCTGGAGTATAGCCCAGAAGGAGCCGGCCCCACCCATGCCAGTTGCTGCTGAAGATGGCGCAGCAGACCTGGAGGCTGCTTTGTTGGAAGATAGAGAGCAAAGAATGCAAAGAGAGCTCTGCATGTTGAGAGCAAGCGTAGACGCTTTGCTGTTGCCCCACCTGGAGGGCGTTGAGTCTGCTCAGGCCGCCTGGCAGGTGCTGAGGAGTCTGTGTGAAAGCTCAGCAGGAGCCCAGGGCTGGGAGAAAGCCGAGAGCAGGGAGGAAGCCGAGAGCCCAGAGGGGGCTGCTGGCCATGTTCCTGAAGTTACAGCTGGGAGTAGCTGCTTTGTCTCCGAGGGGCCGTGTGATGTTGAGGCCTACAACCAGAGTGCTGGGGAGCGTGCAGGCCCAGGCTGTGCACCCAAAGGTGGGGGTGCTGAGAACAAAGGAATGGCTGAAGAGGGAGCTGTGAGAGCTGTTGCTACGCGTCACCGCTGTTATCGCTGTGGCTCCCCCTCCCATCTTGTGAAAGAATGTCCAGTGGAGGCACAGGAACAGCCGAAAGCCGTTTCCCGTAGCAACCAGATAAAGGGCTCTTCTTCAAAGCGTGGGAAAGGCAAGCTGAAGGCAGCTGGCAGAGACACTGAACATAAACATTTGGCAGCCTCTATGGCTGCAGTCAAGAGTTGTCAACAGGATGCTGTGCTGGCTTTTGTGATCGACAGTGGCGCTTCCCATCATCTCGTGCCATCTAGTGGTTACCTGGAAAACTGCACCTCTGTAACTTCTGGGAAGACTGTCTGTTTAGAAGATGGGACTCGACACCCACTCACGCAGACTGGCTCACTGTTTTGTTCTTTCTTACAGGATTCAATCCAGGCTTTTGTTGTTCCAGGACTGTCCTGCGCGTTGCTGTCTGTCAGAGCCCTTCTTGCTGAGAACTACAGAGTGTGTTTTGAGAACAATAAGTGTTCTATTTCTAAGAATGGACAGCACCTAGTCAGTGTTGAATGTAAAGACAGGTTGTTTGTGATAGATGCTTCTTTTGCAGGTCCAGATGACACGGAGGAGGCTCAAGCACAGTGTGCTAACGTTCCAGTTCATGATGCGTGTGCTCACTTATGGCACCGACGCATGGCTCACGTGTCCTGGGGGTCAGTGAAGAAGATCCCAGAGTGTACGCAAGGGTGCAAAATGAAATCATGTGCTAAGTTTCTAGATTGCAGAGCGTGCAAGTCCGCAAAAGTGAAAACGTGCACATACCCAAGGTCTGAGAGGGTGACCACTAGGGCTTTTCAGTTAATTCATGCAGATTTGTGTGGTCCGATGTCTGTGACCAGTATGGGCGGAGCCAAATATGTGCTGGTTCTGATTGATGACCACACGCACAACTCCTGGCTCTTCACGATCCAACACAAAAATGTAGCTGCGCCGCTAATCAAAGACTGGATTGCGGCTGTGGAACTGCAGTTTTCCACACGGGTGCAAAACTTTCAGAGCGATCGCGGTGGGGAGTTCACCGGGTCTGCGCTGCAAAGTTTCTTCCGCAAGAAGGGTATTCAACACAGGTTGTCCTCTCCACACAGTCCCCAACAGAATGGAATTGCGGAAAGACGGAACAGGACTCTAGGGGAGATGTCTGCAGCTCTTTTGTTTGATGCCGGGCTCCCACAGCGCTTTTGGGGGGAGGCTTGGCGAACGGCCAACTTTATTCTGAACGGGTCGTTCAATTCAGTGGTAGGTGACACACCCTACTTCTTGCTGTACGGAAAGAAGCCGAAAGTGCACTACTTCCGCGTTTTTGGCTGTGAGGCTTGGGTCCTCATACCAAAGGCCAAACGCAAGAAAGGTGAACCCAAGTCCCAAAAGATGATTTTTTGTGGGTATGAGCCAGGGACCAAGGGGTGGAGGTTTGCTTATCCGTCAGGGAATCAGTCCAGGATTCTGCTCAGCAGCAGTGCTGAATTCTGTGAGCAGAGTGGCTGGGCAAGGATACATGGGAACCCTGACATCCTGTCAGAGAGTCTGCTTGACTCTGCCGATGAAGGAGAGGAAGAGGTTGAACCTGCTACTGAGGCTCAGAGTCCAGACCCAGTGCAGGCAGAGGGGAGAACTTCTCCCAAGGCTGTGAAGATTGAGCAACGCAGTGCTCCATCTTCCCCCACAAGTTCGGCTGAGAAGTCCAGAAGGCGCAGTAAGTCAGAGGGGGAGCTCTCTGATGCCAAGGACATTCTGGCTGGCCCTAGTGGGTCAGAGGGGGTTCCTGAAGTAGTGCTGCGCCGTTCAGCTCGGACGACCAAGGGGAAACCTCCTGAAAGGTTTGCCGTCACTAGCGTGTGGGTCGGAATGGCACAGTGTGAACCCGAGAGTTTTGTGGATGTTCAGAAACGCCTCAGGAAGAAGCCAGGAAATGACATGAGGCGATGCAGAAGGAGATGAACTCAATGGAGTCGCTAGGTGTGTTCTCCCTCACGAAGTTGCCGGTGGGTGAACAGGCCGTGGGTAGCCGCTGGGTTTACTGTCTTAAGCCCACAGCGACAGGAGAACTGCAGTATAAGGCCAGATTAGTGGCGAGAGGATTTACGCAGCGCAGGGGGTTGCATTATACGGAAGTTTATGCTCCCACCTCTAGGAGTGAATCTCTACGCTTGGTCTTGGCCGTTGCTGCACAAAGAGGTTTGCTGGTGCATCATTTTGATGTGGATGTTGCTTACTTGAACTCAGACCTCCAGGAGGATCTGTACATGCTTCCTCCTCCAGGGTTTGAGGGCAATGAGCAAGGTACTGTGTGGAAACTTCACAAGTCAATTTACGGTCTGAAGCAATCGGCCAGAAATTGGAACTTGTGCCTGAATGAAGCTTTGGAGAAGCTAGGTTTCAGGAAGAGTCTTGCTGACAGTTGCCTGTTCCTTAGAGGATCAGGAGACTCACAGGAACTGGTGTTATTTTATGTTGATGACATCATCCATGTTGGAAAGGCAGACAAACAGGTGCAGAAGTTTGCCAAAGAGCTTGGGAAACGGTTTCAGCTCAAGAACCTGGGTGCAGTAAAGATCTTTTTTTTTTTTTAAAGAATATTTATTCCAATTTTAAAGTTACAGAAAAAAAGAAAAAAACATACAGGAAAAAAAATATATAACATGTTACAAAAAACAGACAGTAAGAAAAACTCAACAAAAAATAAAAATACATTACAATAAAGTATTACAAAAATCAAATTAAACCTTTACAACCTTTTTCCCTTTTACTTATTTCCATGACTTCCTCTCACCTCCCTGCTTTGTATTCTAGTTTAGATCGTATCTCCAGCAAATCCTTCTAACCTTCTTTTCTTTTACTTGTTTTAACTTTCGATAATATTTAATCCTCCTCTATCCTCATTTTACACTTCATTTTTACTTACTCCATTTATACCATATCTGCCAAAACGGCCTAATATTCTTTTCCAACCTCTTTCTAACATTCTTTTATATTGCAGTATTTCTGAAGATATATTTTAAATTTTTTCCAATCTTCTTCCATCGACCCTTCTTCCTGGTCTCGAATTCTGCCGGTCATCTCAGCCAGTTCCATATAGTCCATCACTTTCATCTGCCATTCTTCTCGGGTAGGCAATTCCTGTGTCTTCCAGTATTTCCCAATGAGAATTCTTGCTGCTGCTGTCGCATACATAAAAAAATTTCTATCTTCCCTTCGCACCAATTGGCCGACCATGCCCAAGAGGAAGGCCTCTGGTTTCTTCAAGAAAGTATATTTCAATACCTTTTTTAATTCATTATATATCATTTCCCAGAAGGCCTTGATCTTTGGGCACGTCCATCAAAGGTGAAAAAAAGTACCTTCATTTTCTTTACATTTCCAACATTTATTATCAGGCAAATGATAGATTTTTGCTAGCTTGACTGGGGTTAAGTACCACCTATAAATCATTTTCATTATATTTTCTCTTAAGGCATTACAAGCCGTAAATTTCATACCTGTGGTCCATAACCGTTCCCAGTCAGCAAACATAATATTATGCCCAACATCTTGTGCCCATTTAATCATAGCAGATTTAACCGTTTCATCCTGTGTATTCCATTTCAGCAGCAGGTTATACATTCTTGACAGGTTCTTAATTTTAGGCTCTAACAATTCCGTTTCCAGTTTGGATTTTTCCTCCTGGAAACCAATCTTTTTATCTAGGTTAAAAGCCTCCCTTATTTGATAATAATGAAGCCAGTCTCGAACTTTAGTTTTTAATTTGTCAAAACTCTGCAGTTTTAGTTTATCTCCAACTTGTTCTAAAATTTCACAGTATTTTGGCCAGTTTGTCTCCATATTAGTTTTTTTCAATGCCTTAGCCTCCATTGGTGACAGCCACCTTGGTGTTTTACTTTCCAACAAATCCTTATATCTCATCCAAACATTAAACAATGCTTTCCTGACAATATGGTTCTTAAAGGCCTTATGCGCTTTAACCTTGTCATACCATAAATATGCATGCCATCCAAACACATTATCAAAACCTTCTAAGTCCAGAATGTCCGCGTTTTCAAGAAGTAGCCAATCTTTCAGCCAGCAAAATGCGGCTGATTCATAATATAGTTTAAGATCTGGTAGGGCAAATCCCCCTCTTTCCTTCGCATCTTTTAATATCTTAAATTTTATTCTAGGCTTTTTGCCCTGCCAGATAAATTTGGAGATATCTCTTTGCCACCTCTTGAAACAGTCCATTTTATCCACAATTTGCAATGTTTGAAACAAAAACAACATTCTAGGCAATACATTCATCTTTATCGCAGCAATTCGGCCCAACAATGATAACTTCAATTTTGACCATATTTCTAAGTCCTTCTTTACTTCTGACCAACATTTTTCATAATTATCTTTAAACAAATTCACATTTTTAGCAGTCATATGCACCCCTAAATATTTCACTTTGTTCACTATTGTTAATCCTGTCTCTTTCTGAAACCTCTCTTTCTCAATCTCTGTAAGGTTTTTCTCTAATACCTTAGTTTTCATCTTATTCAATTTAAAACCTGCTACTTGGCCAAATTCTTGGATTAATTGCAATACTCTTTTTGTGCTAGATTCTGGCTCCTGTAATGTCAAAACTAAGTCATCAGCAAAAGCTTTCAATTTGTACTGTTTAGCTCCGAGTTGTATACCTTTAACCAATTGGTCTTTTTTAATCATATTGAGCAAAACCTCCAGGACCGATATAAAAAGCAGTGGGGAGATTGGGCAACCCTGTCTTGTTCCTTTCTCTATCTTAAATTCTTCTGTGACTACATTGTTCACAATGAGCTTAGCTTTTTGTTCCGAATAAATTGCACCTATACCATTTTCAAAACTTTGGCCTACCCCCATCCCCTGCAGATTTTTCTTCATAAAGTTCCAAGAAATATTGTCAAAAGCTTTCTCTGCATCTACAAATATTAAAACCGCTTTGGTATTAATATTAACTTGCAGTTTTTCTAAAATATTAATAATATTCCTCGTATTATCTGACAGATGTCTCCCCGGGAGAAAGCCCGCCTGATCTTTATGAATCTCTTTCACCAATACATTTTTTAATCTTTTAGCCATAATTTCCGCAAAAATTTTGTAATCCACATTAAGTAGGGATATGGGACGGTAGTTCTTCAACTGTGTCTTTTCCACTTCAGTTTTTGGTATAAGTGTAATGTATGCTTCTTTCCACGACTCGGGTGCTTTTCCTCCCGTAGTATTTCATTGCAAAGTTCTTTCAACGGTTGCAATAACCATTCTTTCAAAGATTTGTAGTACTTTGCAGTTAGACCATCCGGTCCTGGAGATTTGCCCAATTTCATATTCTGAATGGCTCCTTCCACCTCTTGGTCAGATATTATAGAATTTAATATTGATTTGCTCTCTTGAGATACTTTTTGTAATCCATTATTTTTCAAAAACCGATCAATGTCTGATTCTTTCTGGGTCTCCTGCGTATATAGCTGTTTAAAATAATTCTGAAAGCACTTCCGAATCTCTCCAGGATTCTGTATGTTCTTCCCTTCTACTACCAAGTTCGTGATCGTATTCAGCTTTTGTCTTTTTTTCATTTGCCAGGCCAGTAATTTCCCACACTTATTTGCCGATTCGAAGGTCTTTTGTTTCATCTGTTTAACCTTCCATTCTATCTCCTGATTCATCAGTTTCATATATTGTACTTGATATAGCTTTATCTCTTTTAAGATCTCCTGTGAGTTCAGTTTCACCCTCAGCCTTTTTTCTCCATCCTTAATTTTCTCCAGAATTTTTTCTCTCTTCTCATTTTGATATCTTTTCCTAATTGCATTTTGTTGTATCAGAAATCCTCTCATCACCGCTTTGCTGGCATCCCAAATCACTCTTTTTTCGGTCGTAATGTTCATATTTATCTCAAAATAGTCTCTCAAGCTTTTCTGGGCCTTTTTAATAATTTCCTCATTCCTAAACAAGGAGTCATTCATCCTCCATCTAAAAGCTCCAATTGGCGTTGATATCATTTCAATCTTTACTGGATTATGATCAGAGCAAATTTTCGGGCAAATCACCGCTTTTTTTTATCTTAGGGGCCAGTCCTCTAGTAATCCAGATTTGGTCTATTCTTGTCCATGTCATTTTTGCTTCAGAGAAGAAGGTTCCTTCTCTTTCCAAGGGGTTCTTTATTCTCCAAATATCCACAAGATCCATATTGTCAGTCATTTCAAAAAAAGTCTTTGGTAGTCTTCCATCATTCGTCACCGTTTGTCTTTGGGCTTTATCCATATTTGTAGACACTACTCCATTCATATCTCCCATCAAGATAATGTTGTAGTCCAAATAATCCAGAAGGGTTTCGTGCAGTTTTTTAAAGAATTCTGATTTTCCCTCATTTGGTGCATAGACACCTAATATCAAAAAACTTCTGTCCTTGAAACTGAATTTCAATTGCTATATATCTTCCTTGGTCATCTTTAAATATGAATTTTGGTGACAGGCTTTCCTTTGCATAGAGTACTACTCCTCTTTTTTTCACATTATCCGATGAAATAAATTCTTCTCCCAATCTTTTGTTTATCAAAATTTTCCGGTGTAGCCTTGTCACATGCGTCTCTTGTAAACAAATCAAGTCCAAATGTTCTTTTTTCAATATATGAAATACTCTCCCCCTTTTTGCCGATGAATTCATGCCATTAATATTCCAGCTTAAAACTTGAAGTGTCATTTTGTACTTACTCTCCTTCTCCTCCAACAGCCCCAAGAAGTTTGTCTATATCTGTCGGTGGCGTTGGTTTCGCTTTTTTTTGCAAACTCTTATCCGGTACAGCAGTGTCTTTTCCCAATCCTTTCTGTAGATCTTCTTCGTATGCACTCAAAAACTTGTTCTTTTCCTCCACTGATCTTATCTTAGTCTTTCTTCCTTTAAAACTAAAGGATAGACCTTGAGGGAATTCCCACCTGAAAAGAATCTTGTTTTTTCTCAACAAGGCCACCAAGTCTCCAAAATCTTGTCTTAGGTCCAAAAGATGTTTTGGTATATCTTTAAAAATTTCCACTTTTGATTGTAAAATTGTCAAAGGTTTTTCGTAGTGCAGGCCCAAAATTTTGTCCCTTTCTTCTTTAGAACGAAGAGTAATCAAACAGTCCCTTATTTTAATCTTTCTTCCTCCTTTCCCCAATCTGAAGGCCCTCACAATCTTAAAGTCCTCTTGTTTCAAGTCCAATTTCCAAAATTCCACAAATTCTTGTGTCAAAAAGTCTATCAAGGTGCCTTTCTCCAATTCAGGAACAGCTCTAATTCTTAAATTGGTTTGTTTGTCTTTGAGATCGATCATAGACAACGTTAACTTATGTTCTGCAATCTCTTTCTGTAGGTCTGGTACCTTCTCAGTTTCCAATTGCCCCAATTTAAATTCCACAGCAGCAGTCTTTTCCTGTATAGACTTTGAGTCTTGCAGTAATCTCTGGATAGATTCCGTATTGCTGTTTACCTTTTTCTCCAAGTTATCTAGTGTTTCTGTGTTTAAGTCAATTTTTTTATTAGCAATGTCCACTTTCTGGTTCGTTTCTTCCACTTTCCTATTCGTCTCCTCCACCCTTGTACTAAGTTGTTGTAAAGATTCATTAATCTTAGCCAGGGCATTGGCTAAAATTTCCTCAGACATTCCACTAGACTTAGATTGTGTTGCTGATGTAGGCAAGCCAGCAGATGATTGCCTTCGATGTCCCCAAGGTTTCCCAGATCTCAAGACTGACGGGTCTTGAGATTTCTGGCCATCTGCCATAACAAAGTGAAGGTCAAATTCTTTTCCCACGTATGCTGTTCCTGTTTACAAATGGAAAATTCCTTTACTGTAATTTCAGGGAGTCCCACTAGGTGGACACTGTTACCACCAAACCAGTTACTGTCCTTCTAAAATGGCAGGAAAGAGAAACTAAGTAGAAAAACAAAGAAGGAGAATCCACCATGTATCTTTCCAGTTATTTTCCCCAACGAAATTGGCCACAGTATATCCTCCTTACAGCCAACAGATAGCGCTGACAGCTTTTGACAGCTGAGACGTCTCACTGACAGATTGCTCTTAAAATCTTTAAACAGTCCGGTAGATACAAGCAAAACCTTTTCCTTTATCCCTCCGAAGGGTAGATTCCACCAAAGTTCTCAGGTCAGAAGAAAACACTTATTTCAAATCAATTTTCCCACGTTTAGCTCCAAGTCTCTATGCTTTATTCTGTTTACAATGCGGGGAAGCAGACTTCCTGTTTGCACTTCCCACCGCGGTAGCCAATTTTAACGTTGTTTTGCTGCTAAAACCTTTCCGCTTTTAATCCAATTAGTCCAATTAGTCCAATTAAAGCTCTTTTAATCCAAATCCTCTACTCACGATTTGAAATTTCAGTCCAAATGTTCCAGGAATAAGTCAGTGCTCTCCAGCAACGGCAACACGGCTTCGCTCCGTGAAAGCAGCGATCCACTCACAGCACCGCGCTTCTCCCCCGCTCCGTTCCGAAGCCTAAAAAAAGGGCTTCCTCGCGAGTTGGGGGGGCGCTCCAAGGTGCCCGCCGAGTCTCCACGTTCGCAGGCTTCCGCGCCTGCGATTTCTAAGGGTCCCCGCTTCGTCGTAGCGCACAGGACCCGATTTTCACGGAGCTATCCCCTCCGAGATCAGAGGAGATCAGCCATTTGCTACTGGCGCTGACCGGAAGTCCTGGGTGCAGTAAAGATCTACCTAGGCGTCCAGATAGTGAGAACTGAGGATGGTAGCTTCTTGCTCAGTCAGAAAGGCAAGATTGAGCAGTTGCTTGAGAAGTTCAGAATGTCCGATTGTGCAGGAGTTCGGACACCCATGGAGACGAACTTAGTGAAAGATAGCCAGCAAGCAGAAAGTGCTGAGTTTGAGAATGCTGAGCTCTTTCAGTCAGCTCTAGGTAGTCTGTTGTATCTGTCCCAATGGAGCAGACCAGACATTGCCTTTGCTACCAACCTGCTAAGTAGGGAAGCGTCAAAGCCCAGTGTGAGTGCTTGGCACGGTATCAAGCGGGTACTGCGCTACCTGCAGCATACCAAAGACTTCTGTCTTAAGCTGCCAGCTGAAGGTGAGGCGAAGCTCACATGCTATGCGGACAGTGACTGGGCGAATTCGCAGGACCGCAAGTCTGTGTCTGGGTTGGTGGTAAAGTTTGGGAAGTCACTAATTGGGTGGAAGTCCCGGAAGCAAAGTCTCATTGCGCTGTCTTCTACTGAGACTGAATTCAGTGCACTGTCAGATTTGTGCCGGGAACTAGAGTTCTATAGATGCTTGGTGCAAGAGATCTATGGGGATTGTAGTTTGCCCATCATGGTTTGGGAGGACAATCAACCTTGTTTGAAATTGGCTGAATCTGCACAATTTAAGACCAGAACCAAGCATCTGGACATACGTTTCCAAAATGTGTGTCAGAGTGTTCAGTCAGGTTTGATACTGTGCCACTCATAGTAACTTGGCCGACGGATTTACCAAACCTTTAAGCTTCCAGCGTCATGGGGAGTTTTGTGGTGGTTTGGAGTTGGGGGTAAGTTCTGTACTTACTTTCCCCACAGTAGCGCAGGGCGAGAGGGGGTGTGAGGAGAACCTGAGCTTACATGGTTAAACAGCTCAGAGTGTACGCCCTGCCTACTATTGGGAGGGGGGAGATTCTGCGTCATATCCGAGAGTCTAAACCCTTTGTTCTCTCTACTTTCGCTTTTGAGGAGAGTGGACGTGTTTTCACGATGCTGTTTGACAATGGATAGTCTGCTGTAAATAAAAACTGCTTCTAGCTGCTAATATCCTGAGTGGACTTTATTTAAGCACACTGAAGAAAGCACTGAAGTTTGCAGCTTTCTCTTACTGCTTAACTCTGCGTTTGCTCAGAGCATCGGAATGTGGCCCTTTGAAGTGCGGAGGCCTGGCCGGTAGCTGCGCAGCCGAAGCGGGCTGGACGCCAGGACTTATCTGAGCAATAAATCTTCTTCAATCTCAAATCACAGTGGCAGTTAGCATTAGTGTTAACCTGCTCCATTGCCCCTTTCATCCAGCTTAATGTAGTTCGCTTTATGGGAAAGAGCTTCTGAATTTCTACACACCCACACACTCCCAGCAGAATATTTGGGAAAATGCGAGGCTTGCTAATTGCTTGATCTTTTGTTGCTGTGTTTTTATTACTTTCAGAAAGGCTTAACCTAAGTCCAGATTATTCATGCCGGGGACCCTCATTCTCATGCCTGTCTCCCTTTGTTTGTTTGGTTTTTTTTTAATAATTTTTTTTATTAAAGTTTTAAACAAATAAAAAAGAAAAACAACACACACACAAAAAATACAAAACTTAACAATAAAAACACAAAACATAACAATTAAAAACAAACTCTCTTTTCCATTTCCAATTTTAAATTACTTATTTTCTGGACTTCCTCATACCTCCCTCTTTTGTATTCCAATCCACATTATTTGTCCATTTCTTTTCCACTTTTTTAATCCCAATCTTTAATTTAATAAAACGTTAAAATATATAACTTCAACTTTTTTAAACCTAATCCTTGATCTTAATGTCATATAGCTTTAAATTTTTCCCTTTTATTATCAAATTTCCATTTCTTTAAACATCTTTAATCTTGATCTTTTAATCTTAATCTATCCTTAACTTTAACCTGTACAGCTGGAAACCACTTGTTTTCAGTCCAACATCACTCTAACATTCCTTAATTTTGCAGTGTTTCTGAAGATAGTCTTTGAATTTCTTCCAGTCTTCCTCCATCGACTCTTCTGCCTGTCTCCCTTTGAAGGTGACCTTCAACTAATCCAGAATGCAGCAGCCAGACTGGTGACTGGGAGCGGCCGCCGAGACCATATAACACCGGTCTTGAAAGACCTACATTGGCTCCCAGTACGTTTCCGAGCACAATTCAAAGTGTTGGTGCTGACCTTTAAAGCCCTAAACGGCCTCGGTCCAGTATACCTGAAGGAGCGTCTCCACCCCCATCGTTCTACCCGGACACTGAGGTCCAGCACAGAGGGCCTTCTGGCGGTTCCCTCACTGCGAGAAGCCAAGTTACAGGGAACCAGGCAGAGGGCCTTCTCGGTAGTGGTGCCCTCCCTGTGGAACACCCTCCCACCAGATGTCAAAGAGAACAACAACTACCAGACTTTTAGAAGACATCTAAAGGCAGCCTTGTTTATGGAAGCTTTTAATGTTTGATGTATCACAGTATTTTAATATTCTTTTGGAAGCCGCCCAGAGTGGCTGGGGAAGCCCAGCCAGATGGGCGGGGTTATAAATAATAAATTATTATTATTATTATTATTATTATTATTATTATTATTATTATTATTATTTCTTTCCAGGCAGACCCTGTGATGGTGTTGAATGATGACAACACCCTTGTGATCCTCTCCAACCGCCTCTCTGAAACGGGAGCCCCTCTGCTGGAGCAGGGGATGATTGTAGGGCAGCTGACTCTCACAGATGCGCTTATTATTGGCCACTGCAACAACCAGGTGGGATCCTGTACACAAGACTTTCGTCCCATGTCACAAGTGGGGTCATTTTATATCAAGCGATCCAACTTTTTTACCTCATGTCATCCAGTTTTTTCCTTAATACTTTGTATACTTGTTGAATGATCAAAACTAAGTTTAAATCTAAAATTTTAGCTTTTTAGCTCATCCCATTTTTGAGTTATGAGGGTTGGAAATAAAAAAAAATGACAATTTTGGCTTTTTTGGACTACACAAAAACCTTAAAAGCTCAGTACAGCATTGAGAAACTGAAAACACCAATCTCTTCAGAACTTCATGGGCTTTAATATGATAGGTCACAAGATGGACTTATTTTAAATTTAAGTTACAGAATTCTAAATTTTAAAAAGTGATTAAAAAAATTAATGTGCATCACACCTGGCACACATTCACCAGATCTTGTGGAGAACATGCAAATAAGCTGTCTGTGAAGAGGGAGTTGTGCATATTTCCCAGTTAGTATACTTAATCTCCAACAGGACTTGGGAAATGTATATATATCGCCTGTGCCAAAGGAGGAGGTGCCTCTTTCTGGTGATAGAATATCCCAAATAGTGAAGGTTCCTCCAGTAGGATAAATGAGGCACTGCCCCACCAACCTCAGTCTGCCATGAGTCAAACGGCACCTTCCTGCCTTCTTACTTGCAACCACTCTTGGGGGGGTGGGGAGCTGCCTGTCAGCTCCTTCACCAGTCTCAGTGTAGTCCCTTGTATAACTCAGCAGGAATGAGAATGGGAACTAGAATTAGGAGGTTCTACATATTGTTGGCTCTGGCACTGTCTACTCTTGGCCTCCATGCCTTCCGCCCCACCAGCCACCACTGCTCCTAAAATACCATTTTGCCGAGTCAAAATGCAAGTGAGCAGGTGTGTCTCCTGAGAACAAAAGGTGTTTATGGAGCACAATTGAAATGAATAATGACAAATTAAAAAATACCATCATTGCTATGAATTGAATTTTATTCAACTATTTAAACTGTTTTATACACCTTTCATTTGGAGAGCTCAAGGCAGCAAGCAACAGCAATTTAATTTTCAAATTACCCTGCAGTGAATGCTTAAAGCAGCAGTGGAAGACAGTTGAATACAGCAGCAATAAAAAATTATTCACAAAACAAAAGACAATTTCAAATGGGGGGGGGGGGACGACAACAACCACAACCACCATTAGATAAAGGAGCAGTTTCCAGCCCAAATGTATTTCTAACGAGAGGTGTTTTTTTAATACCAGCCTATTGAGGGATACTGCAAGAGGAGATGAGGCAGGTTTACAAGAACCATTAAAAAGATCAATAGGAAACCCAACTGTTTTGTGTTGATCATTTTAATGGAAAAACATCAAGACTTACTGTCCCTGGGATTTGCCAACACCACTCCAGAGCCCCTCCTGGACAGCACGGATGGGGTGCTGCTGTGCAACGGGGTGAACGATAGACCACAGCATCCCCTGTCCATCTCTCTGGCCCAGCACCAGGTGCAGATCTCTTAAGCCCATTCCAAGATCAATAGGTTTTCTGGTAAAGGAGATAGGATTTTTTACAGACAATAGCAACACCTCCTCTTTGTCCTCCTCCACCCAAGTCTAGCCTAGTGCTGTACCAAGTACCCAGATGGACACGGCTGAGTTACGTCAGGCCTACCCAACTCTCCAATCCAAGTCTTGGTAATGCGTACCACATCTGCCCTTTTATTCACCACCAGTTTGTGGGTGAGCATGGTCTTCTTGTGGACTGTCAGAGCCTCCGCTATGACCAAGCTGATAAAGCTCATCCTCCGGTTAAGCCTTCGGAATCTCCTCCGACAGTGATTAACGACCTGAGCCGTTGATGAGGCTCCAAGCACTTTCCCTCATTACGTAGAGTATCTAGCAGCAGGGAAGAATGAGAAACACGAGCTACATTGTGAAGAGTTTTATTCCTAACTACGCAGACAGAAAAGAAATATACATGCTCTCTCTGTGAAAGGCAGAGAGCAACTGAAAAACAAAGGAACAGGAAACAGTAACATCACATCTGTCTCCCGTCTTCCGTGAGACTTCCAACAGCCTGGAATGTCTCTGGAATGTAAACAGAGTCTTGTGACTCTAAGCACTGCACAGTGGCACAAACAGAAACCAACAGACGGACCTGGCATTCAATAACAGCACCATTGGACCAGAGGGCTAAGATGTAAGCTACCAGCAACTTCCAGATGAGTGTAATGGTGGACAAGAGCCTTTGCCCCAGTTGTGTGGAAACAGGAGAGGAGTCTCGATGAAACTAGCAGTGGGAAGGACACTAGAACTCACAGATATCCAATGAAGCTGAATGTTGGAAGATTCAGGACAAATAAAATGAAGTGTTTCTACGCCACGTAGTTAAACTATGGAACTCACTCCTGCAGGAGGCAACAATGGCCACCAACTCGGATGGCTTTGGAAGAGTATTAGAGAAGTTCATGGAGGATAAGACCATTGATGTCTACTAGCCACGAAGGCTATGCTGTTTCTTGATGGTCAGAGGCAGTAAATGCTTCTGAATAAAAAGGTAAAGGTAAAGGACCCCTGGACAATTAAGTCCAGTCAAAGGCAACTATGGGGTTGTGGCACTCACCTCGTTTTCAGGCCGAGGGAGCTGGCATTTGTCCACACACAGCTTTCCGGGTCATGTGGCCAGCATGACTAAACTGCTTCTGGCGCAATAGAACACTGTGACGGAAACCAGAGTGCATGGAAATGCTGTTTACCTTCCAGCTGCAGCGGTACCTATTTATCTACTCACACTGGTGTGCTTTCAAACTGCTAGGTTGGCAGGAGCTGGGACAGAGCAATGGGAGCTCACCCCGTTGTGGGGATTCAAACTGCCAACCTTCTGATCAGCAACCTTCTGAATACCAGTTGCTGGAAGCCACATGAGGGGCGAGTGCTTCTAGCAGCACTCTTATTATCTTATTAAGAATGGGATATTCCTTCAATCCAGTGCAAAACCTACTTCTACATTTATTTTTTAAAAAAACATTTTTAATATTAATATTGGGTTATGCTTGATACAGACAGCTAAAAATAAATGATATGTATCTGTATTGTGCATTAATAAACAAACGCCTACCTCTCCCTCCCCAATATTCCCTCACTAACTCCCCTCCCCCCTTTCTCCTGTCAAACTTTCAGGAGCTGCCTGCAGATAGTGACCTGCTCATCTACCTGTCAGCCACTGGCGTGTTTCCTTCAGGTCGTTCGGATAGTGAAGGTACAAATAAAGGAATGCTCTCTGTCACGAGCAGGGCCTGAATTCTCTTTATGATCCACAATCTGATGGGGGAAGCCTCCAAATGCTTTTTCTCTTGGAGAATAAGCTGTGGGCTGGCATTGCCTTTGCTGGGTATGGCTGCCCAACAGGAAGTCGCGTTTGAATTTTCTTCTCATGTCTACCTTTGTGCCACACCTTAAGATTTTTCAGGTGTTGGAAACGTTATTACCCGGTTCAGGTGCTTTACTGGGCTGGAAGATCTTCTTTGTGTGGTGAAGAAGTGGGGTGTACGGACCCCTATGCCATGCACACTGCGTGATGCCCAGCAAATGCCCATACGTCTCCATTAGTTTCTCTCTCACCTTTTTCTCCAAGGAGCTCAAGGTGGTTTACATGGTTCTCCCTCTCATCATTTTATCCTCACAACAACTCTGTGAAGTAGGTTAAGCTTAGTGGGGATTTGAGCCCTGGCCTCCCAGGTCCTAGTCTGACAAACACTCTAGCCACACTGGTTCTACTTTCATGCCCCAGGGAGATAAGAGTGGACAACAAATACTTTTTTCAGCCTGAGGGCCACATGCCACTGGTGGGTGGAACAATGATTGTGAATTTTTACCTTTGTGCAGTAGGCTAGTTTCTATGCACAAATAATACACACAAACACTCAGCCTCCATCCACGCAAGCAAGAGGCATTATCAGAGTTTAAGGACACATTCCAGCCAGCCAAAACCATTCACAGTGTGAAGTAGAGCCAGTGAGGGTTAAGGCCTGGAGAGAGGGAGAAAGTCTTAAGGGCCAGATAAAGAGCCCTGAATGGTTCCCCACCTCTGCTGTCCAACCTGGTCTTAAAGTGTTACGAGGCTCCATATGGAGCACATCACAGTACTAGGGAGTGGCGTGCGCCTGATCTTCACTACACAAAGATGAAAACCAGCCTTGTAAGTGTTTGGTAAATGGTGCCTCCTGAATGCTTCTGGGGCTCATTGTCCCTTTTATTTAAAAAACAAAACAAAGCAGTATGAACAAAAAGCCATGTTGATAGTATTCAAGTACAGCCAAAGGATGACTGCTGGGGAAGGGGGGGCGTGCTGTAGAAATGGTGGATATTTCCTCACAATTCAAGCCCTTGTCATGACTTTGGTAATTTCCCTTCACCCCACCTCCACCTCCACCCCACCTATCCAACCTGGAAGAATATTGGGATGCAGCTGCCATCTGTGCTTTATTGTTGTTTTGTTTTTTAAGACAACTCCCCACCCTCCTCAAAAAATACAATCATGAAGATGATCCATTCCAAAAATTGGCTGAAGCTGAATGAATGGATCATACAAAGTGAAAGAATTTGTTTCTCATGGTACCATGTTTGCATTCAACAACAACAAAAATTCCTCCTAGTAGATGTCATATTAGATCTGCTCCATACACTTAAAATACTTGCATCTTTCCTTGCATGATTCATAAACCTTTCCAGATACTTATATTTTAAAAAACCCACAAAAACACCTATAACAAAAGTTTATGGGGTTTTTTTGCTGTGTACTTTGGTGCCAAATCTTTGTCCTCTCGCTTGACTGTGGTTTTTGTGGGTGGGTCTTGTGCCTGCTGCATGAGCTTTTGTTGTTCCCAACATACAGTAGGACAAACGTCCATCTCCACCCTTTGTAGAGTTTTCTAGATTTTCTGTTAACGCTTATGGCTCAAAGTGGGAGGTGAGCCTTGGGGACCATCTGTACAAAATGTCAACCTCCTCCATTCAGCCCCAGAGATGACATTAATGCATCTGGGACTCTAGGAGGGAAAGAGAGCTGCCCTGACTAAGTCATTGACATGGGGGGAAAGCAGAAGGGGTAAAAATTAATTAGGGGTAATTTGAGGAA